AGGAATTCTACGAGATAGGCGTTGATGCGGCGTTGCCACGTCGCCGTTTGTTTTGTACAAGAATTGACTCTTAAGTTGCTCACACGATATGGACATATCTCCTTCTTAAAGTATTATATACATATATACCTAATACTCGAGATGTGTTTTATTATAGTTACGTGTTTAAGAGATTCTCGATGGAAACCTACTTTTTTACTCTCTAAAATCAGACGAAATACGCGTTACGTGAAATTATTTACCATTATTTTTAAGTTGTCATTTTTTCCAGAAATCTTGGAAACAATTGTTTGATAAACTGTACAGCAGATAAAAACGGAGAAACGATAAGGAGATTATTGGAATAAACTCGAGTAATACATCTGCATTTAACGTCAGAAAAGAAGATTCACATAAGTCATCTGATAAACACAAACACTAACCGATCTTATTCTAGATAATGAGTTTTATTTCATGTTTGATACTTCAAGAAAGAATTATTTCAATCAACAGTTTCAAGAGCGATTCATGACTACTTTCGATTTTATTTCCTTTTAAAAATATATTCGCTTCAAACATTTGAAAATTTAGGAATGTGAATAATTTTTCGATATTTATGTTACAGGCACTACTACTACTACTTAGAAAGATATTTCTTTTAAAATAATCAAGACTAAAAACAGTAGACAAATCAATAATGCAATCTCTTTATCAGAAGAATTTAAATAAGAAAAATAAATACTGCAATTGAATCTCGAGCTTTTCTGGACGAAGAGACACGAACGGGAGCAGGTAAGAATAAGGCAAAAAGATTAGAATGGGCTTGTGGGTTTCCTATTTGAATCTTTTGTTAGGAAATAAACGAAAGGACAGGTGGCAAGCACGAGATTCATACTACACAATGAACAACAAAAATCTGCAATTCTCCAGCTACATTAGAATTTCTGGAACAGAAATTTCAAATGTCTGAAGTCTACCTCAATAAAGTATACAGCAACTTATCATAATAGTTATTTCCTTCTCAGAAAAATTCCCAAATACCTGTACAAAATAATGTTCAGCTGTAAATTGTAGATCTTTTATGTCAATTTAGTCGAATTTCTAAAGAATTTTTGACAATATAAATTGTTTCAATGAAACTTTGAAAAAATAAGCTTTTTAAAAGTTGATTTGTTCACAGAAATCATAACCTGATTGAAATTCACAAAAATCTGTCATTGACATTTAAATATATAATGTACCATAATTTCGAAAGAATTGGAAAGCTACTTATTAAATAATTCAATGTTTCAAAACTTTAATGAAATTAACAAACTAAAATACTAATTTTCATGCTTAGGTAACAAATTATTTGATAGTAAAACATATTTAAAATTATTTTATTACTTATATTATTTACTATTTTAATACTTAACTATTTTCATTACTTAGAGTTGAAAATATCATATTATGGGTAGTTCAACAAACGGAGAAAAAAATGAAGAAAATTTCGGCACAATATTTTTTTTGTGTTTAAGTTCTAAAAAGTATGTTAAATTCAAGTTAATAGTACTATAAAAGTTATCTAAAAGAGGCCAGTCAAAAAATTACAAATTGCAAATTTTACAGCTATTTATAAACAATTTAACCAAGAGACCCAGGTCGTGAAAAACAATTAACAATAACTCAAAATAATGTTTGAATTTCTATAACTCTCGTTACACGGTTCCTCGGAGGGTTAAAGTTTAAATAGGATTTAACACGGGTTAAGTGCACTTTTGTAAATCTTTGTTATAACTTTTCCATTTCTCAACCATTTCACTTGTTCCTGAAACTGATTTAACCCAAAAGTCTTTGCACCTGGTATTTTCTTGGAAATTTTAATTCTACAGTATAAACAATTGATTTTGCAATAAAAATTAAAATAATCACCGGAGCCCTTTCTGAGAAACTTCGATTTTTCTTTTTAAAATAACGGAAATTCAATATCACTTCAAAAATTTTAATTTTCTGAAAAAACTTTTTATACAAAAGTTACAGATGTTATGTTAGTGTTACTTTTTTCTTGATTGAAAGTTTTTTTGTTTATTTATTGCAAAATAAAATCAGTGTTTATTAAATATTTTAGTTGTAATGAAGACTTCAACATCAATGATTTAGATTGACAGTTAATTCTTTTTTTCTATTTTCATTTAAAAAATTGCAAAAATAACCTATAATTGTTTCCTTCTAAGGTCACTTTCTTCAGATCGCGTCACATTTATTCTTTTATTATTGAAAAAATTTTCTTTTATCAAAATAAAATTTTTAATACAAATTTCTCAAAACTTTTTGAGCAAATATTTTTATTTTTGTTGTGCAACAATATATTCATATTGTATAACCAAAATAGACAAAAATATCCATATATGTATAACTTTTGTATAAAGGGTATATATAAAGAGATTTTTCAGAAAATGAAAATTTTTGAAGTGAAATTGAATTTTCGTTATTTTAGAAAGAAAAATCGAAGTTTCCCAAAAAAGGCAATTGTCAAAATACATTTTGCAGAAAATAAAAAATAAATTAATTTATATTTAATTCAGTTTTCTAGAAACTCTCCGCAACGTCATTAACGACTTTAATTTTACGTATACTAAATTTAAACCGCCGATCATCAAGAAATGAATTATCAATATGAAATATTTTTAAAAAATTTATTGATTCAGGATTTACGAAACAATCGATGTCTTTGATAAAAGAAACTTTAAATTGTAAAATTATTCGAAAACATCAATAATAACTTCTGTTTTAAAGAAATATTTAATTATAGGTATTATTTTTCCGCATAAGAATTAAGATTTTCAAAAATTTCAAATTCAAACCTTTTTGAAACTAAACAACTTATAAAAGTTAATACTTTTATAAGTTCATACTTTTTATCATTATTTTATATTAAGAATATTGTTACTGTAACTTCTTAAAAATTATTTTCATCATATCAATTCAATTGATATTTTCTAGAATTTTTAACTAAAATTCTTCTCTAAATCGACTATTTTTAATAATTTTTTAATAAGTTCTTTGAGAATTTTCAAATACATTTGTTTAAAATTCAATTTTACGAAATTTCGATTATTCGGAAATTCTTCACATAAATATATATTAGAAAATAAAAACTTCAAAATAATTTCAAAGAAGTTCCATTAAACTTTTTTAAAAAAATTAATTCTTTAGAATTGCCAGTTAAAAGTGTAGAAAATTTAAATTTTCAAAAATTTTAATTTGAAACCTTTTTAAAATTATTCAATTATTTAAGTACAAAAATAAATAATTTATTGAATAATTGAATGTTTGTTAAAATTCAATTCTCATAAAGAATTTTATCAACAAATTTTTAAATAATTGAATTCTTCTGACGAATTTTAATCAAATTTTTAAGAATAGTTACATTTTTCGAGGAATTTGATTAAAATATTGTTGGTACTAAAAATAATTAAAATTCTGCGATGAGCTTGATTATTCATGAAAATAATTGAATTGAAAATTAATTGATAAATAAATATATATATATTCATAAAAAAAAAATTTATTATTTATGAAATTAATTGAATTATTGCGAAGAAATTTATAAAAGATTTGTTAATAATTGAATTCCTGTAAAATTTTTATTATTTATGAAAATAATTAAATGCTTGAGTGCAATGTTATTAAAAATTTTTTGAAATAATTGAATTCTTTTGAGAAATTTATTAAAAGAGTAGAATATTGAAAATCACTGAAATGATCAAAATTTTTGAAAATAATTGGATTTTGAAGAAGAATTTTGTTATTTATCAAGATAATTGTGATTTTGACGAGAATTTTTTTAAAATCTTGAACATAATTGAACTTTGTAAGAAGAATTTTATTACTTTTGAAAATAATTGATTTTTTGCAATCATTTGTAACTTCTCTAAAATTCAATTTTTTCAAATGTTTTTAACTAAAATTTTTCTTTAAATCCATTATTTTTAATAATTATAATTAAAAATATATTGACAAATTTAACTAATTTCAAGAAGAATTTGAATCATTAACATTTTGCAAAAATCTAGGTTTTTTTAAATTTCTAATTAAATATATTTAAAATTGAAATTTTACAAAATTTTAAATCAAAATCTTTTAAGGTTAATCTACTTTTGAAAATTGTAAACGCAATTCTTTTAAAATTAAATTAATTTTGAAATATTTAAGTAAAATTTTCCTTAAATAATTTCTAAGAAATAATTTTATGATTATTGTGGTTATAATAGTAATAATCTATTCCAATTCATATATTTATGAAAAAAATTTGAATTAGAAATTATTAAATTCTATTTTTTTTTTATAATTGCTAATTTTATTTTAAAAAAGTATGTATGTCATGTTTCGACAATTTTTTTAATAATTTATCTTCAGTGTACAAAATTCTAATCCAAAATACAGTTTTCTTTTTAAATGAGAAAACACCAATTTTACGAAACCTCATTTTCTGCCACATGAACTTAATAAAAAAAAACGAAAAAAATCGTAATGACTGATTAAAAATTAATACCTACTCTTAATACAAAACTCTAAATAATAATTAATAAATTACACTAGTAAACTGAATAATTAGGCTAATAGTATAGATGTTATTTACGTGTAAATGAGAATCGTGTGATTGTCTGTCAATGTATATCGAAAAAGTAAGGTTAGGTTGACGTCAAGATACATATGCCCATGTCAACAACAATTAACCTTTTTAATTATTCAACATAATTATTGTAAACTTAAACTCGTTCTTGATTATTCGCAAATGAAAAGTGATATTTAATAAAATTTAAAATGAGGATAAATGAAGAGCAATTTGCTTCAAAGATGGCAGCACTTACTGGGTAATTGGATAATTGTATAAAAAGGCGCTCTAAACACCCCGCCGTTTTCACCTTTGCTAAACACGCGACATTTAACCAACAAGATTTTTCTTTTGGCAACAGTCATACTTTAATCGACACTCAAAGCTGACATCCAAGACATAAATAAAAGAGAGAGATTATTACCTTCTCTCAATGAAACAACGTCAATGCCCTTTCGAACCTGGATCAACCGCCAAAAGCAAAATCTACAAATTTAATAAACTCTTCGCATGTCGCCACTCGAACAAGAAGCACACATTAACACTGTATTGACATGTCACTTAAACACTCACTTTCTCACGTTAAATCACTGTTAATATGTCTGAAAAAGGTAATTTTTATCATTACCAAAGAATGTGTAATAGCGCCAACCGGACGCATGGCTAATATTCCTCGGCGCTAGTATCGCTACGCCACCTCGAGAAATAATCGATATCTCGTTATTTGCGATAACTGACGGATTTTTAAGGCCTAAACGGATAGCGAACGCAAGCATGAAATAAAAAAGGACACAAATATGTATCTGTCTTTGTCTAACTCATGCTTTGCGTTCGCAAACGAGACGCTTGAGATAGAAAAAACACAAATATATCTCTATCCTTTTCTAACTCACGCTTTGCGTTTAACGCCAACGCAGAATAGATCTGTAACCGGAACCGCAATCGTAACCGTAAGCGTGAGAATGAGTTAGAGAAGGATAAACAATATACCTATCTTTCTTTAACTCATTCTTACGGTTACGCTTACGATTGCGGTTCCGGTTAAAGATTCTATTCTGCGTTGGCCTTTACGAAGCAGTTGTGCTTACGCCTTAATGCTGATTCTACACTTACTGAGTCGCCCCGACTTTCCGGAACGTATTGCATGAGATAGACAAAGGCAGAGACTGTCGCTGCGCTGTCTTTGTCCATCTTATGCTAGTCATTTCGGAAAGTCGGGGCGTCTCAGTAAGTGTAGAATCAGCATAAGTTAGAAAAGGACAGAGATATATTTGTGTCCTTTTCCATGTCATGCATCTTCTTCGCGAATCTATTGTGTATTGGACTTAAGGGTACAGTCACACGATCAATCAATGCATCTGCATGATGCATGCATGCACAAACATTTGACTGTTCACACCTCAATTTTTCGCTCTCGAAAAATCATTTTTCTGGCGAGATATTTAAAATTGATTAAAATTTAAAAATAACGTATTACTAATTATTACAATAAAAAATAAAAAAAATTGAACGTTTATTATAAGGAATTAATTGTAAATAAATTTCTCTTAATTTGTGGCATATTTTAATATTGTGAAATTTTATAATTTAAAATATGCCACTAATAGGGAATTTGCATCACATAAAAAAACTTTTTATTTGAATAGTTTAGCTTAAATTGTAATGTAATTTTTTTTTGCACAATTTTTAAAAGTCATTTTTATCGTTAAAATAAATAAAAAGTAATTAAAATTTCAAACAATATCAAAGACGCTCCGGAAAGAGCCGAGTCTGTCCGAACTACATGTGACGTCACGGGCATAAACCGATTGTACATTTATCAAGGGTTTTCTTGAAAATTTATATTGTTTTTAAAAATGAGCGAAAGTAAAACATTTAAATCGTGTTTTATACCATTGTGTGGAAGCAGCAGTGTCAAAACACCGAATAAATTATTTTTCTGTGCTCCCAAAGATGAGAAAATGAGATTAAAGTGGTTTCAAATTGCTCGTCGAAATGATTCTCCGAAGGCTAAATACACTTATTATTGTTGCGAGGATCACTTTAGTGTAAGTATAGTGTCACTACGCATTTTTTTATTTTATATTTACCGTATTATTAATATAAAAATTTCATTATTATATTATTATAGTAATAACAAACAATATGAACAACTTAACCTAAAATTTGACTTTGTTTTTAATGTAGATAAAGGATGATATGGATAATTATATTAGATATTGTCTTATGGGAGCACCAAAAAAATTGAAAAAAGATGCGATTCCTCACAAATTTTCTTGTCAGCCTAATCGAATAAAAGTAAACGAAGAAGCACGACCAGCGTTCATAAAATTAAATAGAAAGAGGCAAATTCACGACATTTTAGCAGAAACTGAAAATGAAGAAAATATTCCAGAAAAACAGCACGATCAACCAGCAGCAAAAATAAGAAAAAACTATGATACTCCTGTTGAATTATTAACCGATTTAACAAATCAAGAACAGTTACATGAAATGTCTTCTCACGAACCTTTGACGAGTGAAATTGAAAAGAACCCTGACGTCCCACTGTCAATTAAACTATCCTCTACACAGATTGACTTAAATTTTTCAACAGAAAATGAATCATTGAATTCCGAAAAATTATCACCTGCTAAAATAAACTGCGAACAGAAGAATCAAAAAAGTGTTGGTGTACAAGTAAGGAAAAGTTTCATGACACCTAATGTTCGAAGTAAGCATACCATGTGCAAGCCTAATACTCGTGAAGTAAGTTGTGAAGTTAAAGTAGAAATGGTTAACAAAATGTGTTCACCGATCAAGTTCCATAAAACAGAATCTACAGTATCTACTTTAATTAATTCCGATTCAAGTACGCCCGTTTCTTCGTCAAACACTACTGGCGAATACAAATATTCGTCAATTTCCAGCGAGTATAAAAAATCTTCAACTTGCAGTGAGGAAAAAAATGAAAAACAAAAAGAAATGAAAAAATCAGTCCTTGATATTACCCTATATTTAATCAGTTTAGATCCAAAAAATATATTGGTGTTGAAAATGATTGGTTATGGATTTTACCTATGTTGAGTTCTTCTACTAATTGCAGTATCAATAATATCAAACTGACTAATGACACTTATAGTCGATTGGCTGATCAGTTTGGTATCTCAACTTCGCAGGCAAGCAGAATTTTCAACAAAACTGTTGATAAATTAGCTCACTATTTAAAGACACTAGTATTTTTTCCTGATCAAAATAGTATAAGAAAAAACTTGCCTATTGCATTTCGAGCTAATTATAATAGTGTGTGTGCTATTATTGATGCTTTTGAAACCGAAATTGAAAAGCCTTCAAATCCAGTCCATCAGGCTTTAACGTGGTCAGATTACAAGAAATGCAATACAATTAAGTATTTGATTGTATGTTCTCCCGATGGATTTGTCACCTTCATATCTCGCGGGTACGGAGGAAGAATAAGTGACACTTTGTTAACTGAGGAGAGCAATTTAATAAATATGTTACCAGCTGGATGTGGAGTCTTAGCTGATCGAGGCTTTAAGCACATTCAATCGATTTTAAAAAAAAAAAAATGTAAATTGCTTCGTCCGCCATCTGTAACAACAACTTCAAAATCCACAAAAGCAGAAGTTCTTAAAACCAAAAGCATAGCAAGCTTAAGAATCCACATCGAAAGAGTAATTCGAAGAGTTCGAGAATTCCGAATATTAGTACCTCATTCTTGCCTTGATCTGAATACAGTGGTCAAATTGGACAGTATTGTAACCGTTGTTGGAGGTTTAATTAATTTACAAAAGCCAATAATTAGAAAATAAATTTTTCGGCGAGTTAAGTACCTGTAAAAATAGTAAAATAATTTTAATAATTATTTTTTCATGTATAATTCTTTTTTTAATAAAATATATTTATAATGATATTAATTGTAGGAAACAATAAAACAATATATCTATAGTAAAATATTTATTTATTAATGATCTCAAAAATCAGTTGCCAAAAGAGTTCAATAAAGCAGGAAAAATATTTTGCTTCCAGAAGTCCACAGAATTTTTTATTATTTTATTTGTGAAATTTTCATCATATTTAACCCATACGAATTGGAAATTTTTATTATTCTCAAACTTCGGATCTGCGACACAGAAAAGTCCTTTTTTCTTCTCAGCAGCCAACATTTGTAAATTAATTTGAGCTTTACATTTTTGACTAAGCTGACCATTTTTTAAATAATTCTCTATTGTCTTCTCGGAGCTTGGACACTTAACCTCTACGACAAATTCTGAATTTATGCCGTCTGGTGAAGCTGCTACCATAGGTAAAGATGGAACTAAAAACATACCACATTTATTTATTGAAAGTTTTAATTGTTTTTCAACCTCAGTTATAACTTTTTCTTCCAATTTTTTCCCTCGTTCCATTTCAACACTGTTATAAACTTTCGCTGCTCCTATAATTCGATTGACTAAACTACCTTCTGGTGTTTTACATCTACTAGCCTCAAAAATATTAGACGCAGTTACCCTTCCAAATCTGAGTTCATGCCACAAAATATCATTTGCTTGATTTCTAGTCTGTTGTTCAGCTTGAGAACATAAATCTTGAGAAAAATATTGTTTGGAATGCTTCAGAAAATTATCTATTGAAGTTTCTTCCTCGGATTGAATGAAATTAAATATAAGTTGATGTATTGACAATATATGAACTTTTCTCTCTTCTAAATCAAATGAATGTCTTGACAGCTGGCTATCTAATTGTTTGGCAGCAGCTTGTTGAAGTACTTGGTTTAAGAACGTTGAATTATCACCGAAATCTTCAACTGAATCATTAGACTTTTTTTTTAATTCACTAGCCAAAATAAATTTTTGTGAATCTCCGACTTTCGATAAGGCTGATTTTCTCCAGTAGCATTCCACATCAGTTGGAGATGGCGATTCGTATTTTCTGTTTGCCCACATTAAAAAAGCAATCCCATGTTTACATCCACCCAATGATGCAGCACAATCAAGACATTCCACTTTATCTACTATTTCTTTCTCTTCATCTATTTTTAACGTTACAGTGTAATTTTTATTTCTTACTCTGTGTTCAGGACAAATTCTGCCTTTCAATGTACATATTTTCCCTTGACGTTTTACACAAACATAACCTATTGCCGAGTCGCCGTAATTTTCTCTTGAAGATCTACAATAATAAGGAAATAATAAAAAATATAAAATTGTGTAAATTTAGACAGTATTTAATTAATAAATTAATTGATTTTAATAATACAAACATTAAAATTTACTTACAATGTTGCTTTGACTCCACGAACCTCGGGAGCATTATACCGCTCATTATTTGTAATATACTCATAAACCATAAATACACTTAATTTCGGTAAATTCGTAGTATCGGCTTTCTCAAATCCGGGATCTAATTTATTTACCATTTTAACTTGAAATCGACGGATTTTTTAAACAATTATTGCATAATATAAAATGATCACATGTGTAAATACACAGCAGACAATATTTCATTTATGCCCGTGACGTCATCAGCCTGAGAGCCAATCAAAATCGTTTGCTCTCAGCTGAGAAAAATTTAAATAATGTTAAAGTTTAAATTCATTTTTTAATGTTATTTGTGCATGAAATTAAAAAAAAAAATTCTATTCCTATCACAAGCGCCTCTATTTTCATTATATATTACAAAAATCGCTATATATTTTAAATGCAAATTCCCTATTAAGAGAAATTTATTTACAATTAATTCCTTATAATAAACGTTCAATTTTTTTTATTTTTTATTGTAATAATTAGTAATACGTTATTTTTAAATTTTAATCAATTTTAAATATCCCGCCAGAAAAATCATTTTCGAGAGCGAAAAATTGAGGTGTGAACAGTCAAATGTTTGTGCATGCATGCATCATGCAGATGCATTGATCGTGTGACTGTACCCTAAGGCGAAAGCAGAATAGAAATGTGGACCGCAATTGTAAACGGAGAATGAGATAGAGAAGGATAGGTATTGTTTATCCTTTTCTAACTCATTCTTATGTTTGCGATTGCGGTTACGATTCCACAGTTATGGAGCGTTTACACCTTCTGTAAAAATTGTCCAGAAAGGAAAATTTGCATTGGAGTAAGAGAGTCAGATACACAGTCTGTCTCTCTTACTCCAATGAAAAATTTTCTGTTCTGGAAATTTTTACCGAAGGTGTAAATGCTCCCTCACGTTTCTATTCTGGTTTAGCCTTTAGCATTGATTTCACACTACACGAAAGTAACTTTAAGACTTTCCGTTCGAATCTTGCAGAGAAACTATATCACGGGAGTCGGAACGTAAAGTCCTCTTTGACTCATTGTAGAACCACCTTAACATACGTTTTCTTAGGCTGCGGTTACACCTCTGCAGGCAGCCTGCCTGCCTGCAGGTTGTCATGGTAACGTACAAGAGTAAGAGAGTCAGTGACTTCAAACTTCTCCCTTACTCTCGTTGCTCCTGCCTGCGCAGGCAGGCAGCCTGCAGAGGTGTAACCGCAGCCTTAAGGGGTTACGCCACCCTGAACGCATGAAAATCGGATGGTTTTTTAGGAATTTTTTTGATAAAACTGTTTCAGGTAGGACTTCTTTACATTTATTGATGCTTTAGTACATATATTGAGCTTTATAAATATTTAAAAAAAAATTGTTTTTAATTAAAAATGGCGGAGATATAACTATTGGCGTGGATCAATTTTTCCGGAGCACTCCTTGATGGTGTACATGATTGGCAGTTCAATTTTTGTCAGAAACAAGTAAAACAATATTTTTCTTAAAAAGTGATAAATTTTGAACAGAGTGACGAAGCCATTTAAAAAAAAAAAATTTTTTACGCAAATGGAAGCACTTCAAAAATTGACATTTTTTTTTTGGCTAAAATTACCGTATAAAAAATTGGATAAAAAATTTTCAAATTATTCAATCAAAAAAATCCCACGTCACTCTGTGGAAAATCTATTTAGGAAGATGTATATTAATTTTCAAGTCAATCGATTGAATAGTTTTTGAGTTATCGTGTACACCGTCTCCAAAATTGTGGTTTCGAGAAAAACGCAAAAGAAGAAAAAATGAACTTTAGTGTATTATAACTTGAAAATTTTTCAATTTACTATTTAATCAGCAATTCCAGGGGCATAATTTTTTTTATTTAAGAATGGAAGGGATACAATGAAAAGGACCCTTCCTAAATCATGAAAGGGCCCCCTAGACCATTCGAAAATAGAAAGTCGCTGCTTCCAGCAGCTCTCGGCGCGTCCCCACCGCGCTGACTTCTAATGACCATAACTTTTGTAATTAGTGAGACATTGTCTTCGGCGACATCTCAAAATATTCGTTAGAATATAAACTTTGAAATTAAGCAAAAAAAAAAAATAAATTTTTTTGAAAATTTCAGGGTGGCGTAACCCCTTAAATTCAAATACATATATATTTATCACCTAAAATTTTTAATACTTTCTCAAGTAAATATATAATATAGTATATATGTTAAAGGTTTTTAATTAAACAGTAAATAGTGTGACAATTTTCAGAATAAACCTTCAGTTTATGTAAAGAAAATTGATTGGAATTTTTTTTTAAAGTGACGCATGTTGACGCGCGTGACGTCTAGAGGTCAGAGTCGTCGCTACGCCTGCGTCAAAAGTGAAAGAGTCAGATTTGAAATTTAAACAATCATTTTTTTAGAGATTTTTCATTAAAATTACAAATGAAAGTTCTACTAAAGTGTACAAGTAAGTTTTCTAGAAAAGTTAATCAACCGGAAATGACAAATGGCAGTTAGAAAAACTGGTAAAATATGAATTATTTAAACACTATAGCGGCTAGTGGAGTTACTGGAGATGTCAACCTTCAGTTGAATAATGTCGAAATTTTATACACTAAAGTGCAAAAAGTTTATATTAAGCCTCAACTTAAAGAAGAAAGACAAAGGGATCTTCGGGTTAATGTAGAAATTCACGCAGGAATCAGCCCAGTTTGTCGCAAGGTAAAGATATTTTTGACAGCATAAACATAACCTCTTTCTACTCTAAATTGACACTATGTATAAAAACAAAACAGTAATTAAGTTTTTGATAAATTGTACTTGTAAATTTGCATATATATATATATATTACGTAGGTACGAAATTGCATTTAAAAATGGATAATTTTACTTTTTTCGACTGAAAATAATGATTTTGTTATTAAAAACATAATTATGTAAATTTCCCTTTAAAGCTTTATTGTTTGGAGTGTTATACATCTGATTAGGATCCAATTTTGTTAGCGGCGAGATATAAAATTGTTTTACATAATGTTCAATAAATAAAATTACATCAAAGTTCAGGGTTGCCACGCTACCTGGAAAATCTGTAAATGTCAGGGAATTTTATAAATTTTGAAAAAACCCGGAAAAATCAGGGAATTTTGATCAAAATCCTGGAAAATTGTTGTCTAAAGTTATTGTGTTTATTTTTGAAATTTAATTTTACTTAAATATTTCAAAATTAATTTCATTTTAAAAGCGTTGCATTTACAATTTTCGTTAATAGATGAACTTCAAAAGATTTTAATTTGAAATTTTGTAAAATTTCAAATTCATATTCAAATAAAATTCAATTTTAAATGAATTTAATTAGAAAATTTAAAGAACCTAGATTTAAAAAAAATTTTTATAACTTAAATTCTTCCGAAATTAATTAAATTTTGTGATATATATATTTAATTGATTAATAAAAATAATGGATTTATAGAAGAATTTTAGTTAACAACACTAAAACAAATTGAATTTTGAAGCAAAATTACAAATGATTGCAGAAATTCAATTATTTTCAAAAGTAGTAAAATTCTCCACAGAAATTAAATGACATATTTTCAAAGAGTTTAATAAAATTCTTGTCAAAATTTTAATTATTTTCAAAAACTTTCCTCAATTAAATGATTCTTAATATCTACTACTTTAATAAAAATTTCCAAAAGAATTCAATTAGTTAAAAACAATTTTAATAAAATTCTACGCATAAATTTCATTATTTCCATAAATAATAAAAATTTCACAGGAATTCAATTATTTACAAATCATTTTCATAAACTGTTATTCAATTATTTTCATAAATAATAAAACTCATCGCAGACTTTCAATTATTTTTAATACAATTTTAATAAAATTCCTCGAAAAATGTAATTTTTTAAAAAATTTTATTAAATTTTATCCAAAAAATTCTATTATTTTAATAACCTTCCCTACAATTTATTTATTAGAATTTAAGTATTATTTTCAATATATTTTTAATTAAATTTCTTTAAAGAATAAAATTGTTTAAAAAAATTTTAATGAAATTCTTTGCATAATAATTTAACTTTTTTCAAAATAATTTTAATAAAATTCTTTGTAGAAATTTAATTAATTTCAAAAATTTGTCAAAATTCAATTATTTTCAATGTCTATTATTTTAATAAAATTTCACAAAAGAATTCAATTATTTAAAAAGAAATTTTGATAAAATTCGTTTCAAGAATTCAATTATTTTCAAAAGTAATATAATTCTTCCCAGAAATTCAATTATGTTCAAAAATTTACAAAAATTCTCGTCAAAATTTCAATTATCTTTATAAATAATAAATTTTTTCTCCGAAATGCAATTATTTTCAAAATTTACGTTGGTGAAGTTCACAACGTTTATAATCAACGATTTCATAAGAAAAATATTTTTTAAGCAAATTTTTATTAATTTTTGTATAGAAAATATTTTGGTTAGTATGTTGAATAATGATTTACAAAAGAAATATTTGTGAACAAAAAATGTTATTCTTTTTCGTAGGAAAATAATTTTTTTTTTCAATCGTTGATCATAAACGTTGCGAACTTCACCGACGTCAAAAATTTTAATAAATTAAAAATTTCAATTATTTTTAATACAATTTTCATCAAATTTCTCGAAAAATGAAATTATTCTTCAAAGTGTTATTAAAACTTGTCAAGAGAATTCAATTTTTAAAATTAATTACATTTCTCGAAGAATTTACTTAAAATTATATTAAAAACAATTGAAATTCAGTGAAGAATTTTATTATTCAGGAAAATAATTGAAGTCTCGCAACGAATTTTTATTAAATTTTTTAAAAGTAATTGAAATCCTACGATGAATTTTATTATATTTATGAAAATAATTGAATAGTTGCAAAGAATTTTATTAAAGTTTTCAAAAATTATTGAAATCCTGTGAAGAATATTATTATTTATGAAAATAATTGAATTCTTGCAACGAATTTCATTACATTTCTTTTAAATCATTGAATTCCTCCGAGGAATTTTATATTATTTATAAAAATAATTAAAGTCTTGCAACGAATTTTATTATTACATTTTTTGAAAATAATTTAATTCTTTTTAGAAATTTTATTAGAGCTGTGCAAAATTCGAACCGAACCGAGTTTAGTTCGGTTTTGAGGCGCCGAAATGTCGAATGTCGAATATTCGACATCCGAACTGGGCTAGTTCGAATGTCGGTTTTTCGACATTCGAACTAAGCTAACTCGAATGTCGAATTTTCGACATTCGAACTAGGCGAAAAAATTCGAACAGTTCGGTTTGAATTATTTTGCACAGCTCTAAATTTTATTAAAGTAGTACCTAGATTTTGAAAATATTTGAATTTCAGCAAAGAATTCCATTATTTGTGAAATAGAATTAAATTATTGCAAAAAATTTTTAAAAATAATTACATTTTTCGAGGGATTTATTTAAAATTGTATTAAAAATAATTGAAATCCTATGAAAAATGTTATTATTTATGAAAATAATTAAATTCTTACTAATTTTATTACATTTTTTTTTAATAATTGAATTGATGTGAAGAATTGTAGTACTTGTAAAAATATTTGAATTCTTGCGAAGGATTTTATTAAAATTTTTGTAAATAATTTAATTTTTTTTGGAAAATTTTATGGTTTATATATTTATGTTTTATAACAGTATTCTTAAAAGTTATTGAATTTCAATAAGGTTTCAATTTAAAACTTTTGAAGATCTTAATTTCTATGAAAAATAATAATGAATAAATATTTATTTAAAAATGAAGATATTGATGTTTTCTAATAATTTTTCAATTAATGAAATTCATAAATAAATGTAATAGAACATTTTTTTGTGTATCTAATCATTTTGCGAGTGAATCAGAATATTCTTTAGAGTCAGGAAAAAAGTCAAAGATTTGTCTGGTAATCAGGGAGTTATTTAATTTGACAGAATATAAATTTAGTTTTAAAAAGCTGGAAAATTTCCGTTTTTTAACCTGGAAAACCTGGAAAGTCAGAGAATTTGAAAGGAGCAAAAGCGTGGCAACCCTGAGGATATTTGTGCCAATTAAAAAAATTATTCTTGATAATATTCTTCATCCATTTGTAATAATAATGTTATCACTTATCTTTTACTTAAGAGTATTAAAAAAAATTTTTTATTTTTTAGAGCCTGTGCGTTTTATTAGCAGACGATGACGATCCTTGTTTTCTCTACTCTTTGTTTATAACTGAAGACGATTTCAAGGTCTTGAAAGCTCAACAAGGACTACTTGTTGACTTTGATAATTTTGCAACGCAATTGATTTATCTTTTGGAACAATGTCAAGTCCCGGCGGCGAGTTTATCAAAAACTCCGAAATTTCTTATGCTCTTGTCCGAAGAGAGTGGAGATTGGACTTTCAAATTTGTGGAGACAAACAATTTCAAGCACCTGTGCCATTTATGTTTGAACATCGCTCCGGCAAATGACTCGCATATAAAAACTCATATGGCTATGAAAATCAAACAGTTTAAGGAGAGCTTATTACAAAAGGACCGAGATATTCTCGGTTTGGAAACAAGACTGTCGGATTTAAATTGTAAATTGGAATCGAAAATAAAGGAACTTGATCAGTTTGAACAGAAATGGGTTGCAGATAAAACACAGTTGCAAATGAGTTTGGCGCAACAGATGAATTTAGAAAAAGATAGGTTTGTTTCACAATTATTTTTTAAATATATCAGTGTTTAAAAATTGTTGTAATAAAATAAACATTTTTTTACAGATTATCACAACTAAAAATGGAACTACAACATCAGTGTGAAAGAGAACAAATGGAATTAGAACACAGACACAGCGAAGTCATTAAACAACTTCATACAGAATTAGCTGAATACAAAACGCAAAACATTACGTTCAAAGACAAACAATCATTTCTCGAAGCAACAAATTCGGAACAACTGAAGCAAATACAAATTCTGGAGAAAGAACTCAATCTTGTTCAAAGAGATCATTCTCATTTAAAGAAACAAAACTCGAAACTCGACGGCGATTATCATGACAAAGACAAGACTGTAAATAGTTTAAAAACGAAAGTTGCTGTTTTCGAACAAGAGCTGAAGGATAAAACAATTTTGATAAACAAACACACGGAGATGTTGAAGAACGCAAAAGAACAAAAGCAAAGACTGGAGGAGCTTCTTAACGAAAAGGACAGTCAGTTGCAACGGAAACAAAATTCACTGACGCGTCTCAGCGATGAGTTGGTGAAAGCCAACGAAATTCTAGCAAAGATTCAAAATGAACTCGCCTCTACGAAAAACAAATTGAAACTCCGAACGGGTATTGCATTAGAGCAGGAAAGATTGATCGACGCAACACACAAGCAAGTTGGCCAGTTGGAAAATAAAATTGACACTTACACAAAAGAGGCGAAAGACGCGAAAGCAGAAGTTGATAATTTAAAAGAGCAGGTGAAGAACTTGCAATCGCAAATCGAGGAGAAAGATAAGACTATCAAGAATAATGACAATGGTAAGAATAATACATTCAATTTTGTTAAATTGACAGTAGTTGGAGTATCTATCGATGTAAATCCTATTCAAAATTTAATTTTACTTCTTGCTTTTAACTTACTGAAGCCAAAAATATAATTTAACTCTTTGTCTTTGATAACTTATGCCCCTAATCTGGAAAAGTCAAGGAATTTTATGAAATGTTTTTAAAATATTATTTCTTAAATCTGAATGGTGCAAATTTCAAATTATCGTACAAAAGTAACGAAAATTTAAATATTTCAAAGCTAATTCAATTTTAAAAGAGTTGCGTTTACAATTTTCATAAGTAGATAAACTTCAAACGGTTTTAATTTGGAATTTTGTAAAATTTTAATTTTATTAAAATTATTGGGTAAAATTTTGATTATTTTCAAAAACTTTTTACTGAATTCAATGTTTCTTAATATCTACTACTTTAATAAAAATTCTCAAAAGAATTCAATTAGTTAAAAAAATTTTTAATAAAATTCTACGCAAACATTTCATTATTTTCATAAATAATAAAAATTTCACAGGAATTCAATTGTTTACAAATTACTTTCATATATTATTCAATTATTTTCATAAATAATAAAACTCAATGCTGAATTTCAATTATTTTTAACCTTTAAAGTGCTAAGTGCTGAAAAATCACGCTCAGTGCTAACCCCGGTCTGTCAGACCGCTATTCCCTTTTGACAGTTTTTTAGTCATTTATAATTTTTAAAAGACAACTATTATAAATATTTTTTACTTTTTAACAAAAAAAGTCATTTCTGTATTATGCATTTATTTATTTTATTTATTTTATAAATGCAGTCTATGAGAACTGTCAGTAGAACTAGCTGCGCGTCAAGCTGCGCAGACGATACTCTTGGGAATATACTGGAATATACTTTCACTTAAAGCTAACCCCGGTCTCACAGACCGCTATACTTCAAATATTTATTTATATTACAAAATTTAACGAATACAAATTTTTGAAAAAGTTGTCTCCTAACAGATTTTCATAAAATATGAAGCTACTAAAAAGTTCAAGTTCTTATTATACTTTGAAAAAAAGTTTCAAGCAAAGAAAATTTTAATAGCGGTCTGTCAGACCGGCATAGCACTTTAAAGGTTAATACAATTTTAATGGAATTCCTGGAAAGAAGTTATTATTATTAAAAATTTTAAAAATTATTATTATAATAACGATAGAGGCAGAAGACTTTTAGATTTTCTGTTAGATACAGATTTAGATATTTTAAATCAGGGTAATGAGCCGACTTTCGTTACTGTTAACAGAAAAGAGGTGTTGGATATTACGATCTGTTCCAAGTCTTTTTGTGATGGCGTGAGGGACTGGAGGGTGTCTGATGAAGATTCCCTCTCGGACCACAGGCTTATTACGTTTAGATTGGAATCGAAGGATCGGGAACAGAAGTGGGGACGTAATCCTAGGAGTACCGACTGGGCTTCATATAGTGAAGACCTCAAGGCCTCCATGGCATGCTTCCCCACTTCCTATGGAACGATGGAGGAGTTAGAGCTTGCAGCGGAATATCTGCGAGATTCTATTATCTGTTCCTTTAAAAGGAACTGTGTAGTTAAGAAAATGGGCTTCAATGGGGGCGGTAAATGGTGGACCCCCCGTTTGGAGGAACATAGGAAAACTGTAAGAAAGCTTTTTAATAAGGCCAAGAAACGTAGGCATCAGCGAGCATGGGATGAATATCATACCGCTCGCGATTCTTATAAGAAAGAAGTAGATAGGGCAAGGGGTGTCAGCTGGAGAAGTTTTTGCGAGGGAATCGAGAGGGTACCAGAAGCTTCAAGACTTCATAAAGTACTAGCTCGAGACCCAATGGCAAAATTAACTAATATTAAGCTGCCTAATGGGCAGTATGCCCAGGATAAAAGGGAGTGTCTAAAGCACCTGATGGAAGTAAACTTCCCGGACTTTAGAGAAGGTTTGGAGAACAGCCAGGGCATAGGACCAGGTAGGAATCGAGGATATCGGGAACACTGGAAACTAGCAGCCAGGGTTGTAACTCCGGAAGGGATTGATTGGGCAATAGGCACTTTCAAACCATTTAAGGCTTCAGGGGGGGACGGTATATATCCGGTTCTTTTGCAAAAGGGATTGGATTGTATTAGAGTACCCCTGTGTAAAATTATGAGAGCATGTATAGCTCTTAGTTATACACCGGAATCTTGGAAAAAGACGAAGGTTGTGTTTATTCCGAAGGCCGGTCGGTCAGGCTATACTGCGGCGAAGGACTTCAGGCCAATCAGCCTAACTTCCTTTATATTAAAGACGTTAGAGAAACTGGTGGATAAGTTTATTAGACAGGAATGTCTTAGAGATTTTCCCCTACATCAGGGACAGCATGCATATAGAGCAGGCTTCTCAGTAGAAACAGCCCTCCATTCGGCAGTAGGTAGAATAGAGGGACAAATTAGCAGTGGTGGTGATGCGGTTGGTACCTTTCTTGATATCGAAGGTGCCTTCCCTAACACCTCTAGCAAAACTATCTGCAGGGCAGCCAGGATGCGAGGCGTGCCCGAGCCGCTAGTTAAGTGGATCGACAGCATGCTTCGCGAAAGGGCCCTGGAGGCAGAGTATGGTGAGGCCAAGGTAACCGGCCTTGTCTCAAAAGGGTGCCCACAGGGAGGAGTTCTCTCTCCTTTATTGTGGTGCTTAGTGGCAGATGAGTTAATTAGAAACCTCAATAGCCAGGGATATTATACGCAAAGTTATGCGGATGATTTCCTTATAATTATAAGAGGGCACTCAATTGAGACCCTCTTAGAACTTACGGAACGTGCGCTTAAGATTGTCAAGGATTGGTGCAATCTGACTGGACTTTCTGTAAACCCAGAGAAAACGAATATAGTAGTTTTCACAAGAAAATATAAGGTACCGAGTTTGAAGAAACCGATATTTTATGGAAAAGAGATTTCCTTTTCTGAATCGGCTAAGTATCTGGGAGTAATCCTGGATAAAAAGCTGGTTTGGAGGGAACATTTCGAATATCTGTATAGCAGGTTTTGTACCGCGTTTTGGGCGTGTAGAAGGGCGATAGGGTCATCATGGGGACTAAGGCCTAATATGGTCAACTGGCTCTATCAGATGATCTTAAAACCAAGGTTTCTTCACGCGGTAGTTGTCTGGTGGTCTAGGACTCAACTGATAACGGTTAAAGAGAAACTAGGCCAACTGCAAGCAATGATTTTCAGGGGTGTTACGGGGGCAATGAGGACCACGCCAACAGCTGCGTTGGGATTCATGCTTGCCGAGGTACCTCTGCATATTGCCGCGGTGAAAAAGGCGGCTCTTACTATGAGCAGGTTAACTGCGCAGGGAAGGTGGAAGGTTGGTGGTATACACACCAAGCTTCCACGCTCAATTCTACCAATACCAGAATTAAGTATGGTGCAAGATAGAATGATCAAGAGGGTGAAATTTAAACCCTGCTTTAAGATCATTACACCTTCCAGAATGGACTGGAAGAAAGGTTTTCCACTTGGGGACGAAGTCTGGTATACAGACGGCTCCAAGATGGACTGCGGTGCAGGCTTCGGAATTTATCGGGAAAACTGGCTGCATTAAAGTGGCTGAGTCATTAGGACAACATGCCACGGTCTGGCAGGCAGAGGTCTGTGCGATTTTAACTTGCGCCCAAATATCCATTCAAAATGGAACAAAGGGCAAGAGGATTAGTATTTGTGTGGATAGTCAAGCGGCCTTAGGGGCTCTGAAAAATCCCACAATAGAATCAAAACTCGTCTGGGAATGCCGCAGCGTACTAGATGAGTTTGGTTCAGAAAATAGGCTTTCATTGATTTGGGTACCGGGTCACTCGGGAATCAAGGGTAATGAAAGAGTAGACGTCTTGGCGAAAATCGGTTCCGAGACGAAATTTATGGGTCCTGAACCAGCAGTGGCAATAATGCCATGCTTGGTTAAGGGAGCCATAGAAAGATGGGGTGAAAAGGAACATGAGAAGTATTGGGCGAACGTTGGGGTGGGAAGGCAAGCGAAAACTCTGTTGGGGTTAGCACTCAACAAGAGGCGAGCGAGCGATCTCCTAAAACTCGATAAGATCAGAGTTAGAACCGTAGTTCGTCTACTTACGGGTCATGGACTATTGAACTACCATCAGCATAAAATAGGCAGACAAGTTTCACCTATGTGCAGACTGTGTGGGGAAAGTAACGAAACTTCGACTCACATATTATCAGAATGCCCAGCGTTAGCTAGGATCAGGCTATCTAGCTGGGGTCAAGCAATTATTGACCCTAAGCAGGTGAGCAACCTATCGATAGAAGAGATACTGGACTTCTGGAGAAGAACAGGACTCTAAGAAGTTGCTATAAACGAGCGAACTGAAGTCTGGTACAATGGGTTCTATAACCTAGATGCTTACTTTCCCCTCTTGAGGAAAATCCAGCTCGATCTCGGTGTCAGATTAGATTAGATTAGAAAAATTTGTCAAAATTCAATTATTTTCAATGTCTACTATTTCAATAAAAATTCACAAAGAATTCAATTATTTAAAAAGAGATTTTAATAAAATTCGTAGAAAGAATTCAATTATTTTCAAAAATAATATAATTCTTGGCAGAAATTAAATTATGTTTAAAAATTTACAAAAATTATCGTAAAAATTTCAATTATCTTTGTAAATAATACAATTTTTCTTCGAAATTCAATTACACAGCCACACACAAAAAAAAAGTTCTGATCTGGGGGTCTCACTATGTAGACTTTATGTTTTTTGGGTCGCTGAATCCGAATCCGAGGTCTATTTAACCCCATCAGATCAGGATTTTGACAGAACCTCAAAAACCTATATGGCGGACACATTTTTGAAAAATTCGTCGAATTCGCTTGAAATTCGTTACTCGGGGGTTTTTGGGGTCGCTGATTACGAATTTGAAGTCTGATTTCAAAAATTCAAAATGGCGGATCCAATATGGCGGACACGTTTTTGAAAAATTCATCGGATTCGCTTGAAATTCGTTACTCTGGGGATTTTGGGGTCGCTGATTTGAATTTTGAAAAACCGACATCAGATTCGTAATCAGCGACCCCAAAAACCCCAGAGTAACGAATTTCAAGCGAATCCGATGAATTTTTCAAAAACGTGTCCGCCATATTGGATCCGCCATTTTGAATTTTTGAAATCAGACTTCAAATTCGTAATCAGCGACCCCAAAAACCCCCGAGTAACGAATTTCAAGCGAATCCGAAGAACTTTTCAAAAATGTGTCCGCCATATTGGTTTTTTGAGGTTATGTCAAAATCCTGATCTGATGGGGTTAAATGGACCTCGGATTCGGATTCAGCGACCCAAAAAACATAAAGTCTACATAGTGAGACCCCCAGATCAGAACTTTTTTTTTTTTGTGTGGCTGTGTTATTTTCAAAACTTTTAATAAAATTCTTGGCAGAATTTCAGTTATTTTTAATACAATTTCATCAAATTTCTCGAAAAATGTAATTATTCTTAAAAATGTTATTAAAACTTGTCAAGAGAATTCAATTATTCAAAAATTTGTTGATAAAATTCTTTATGAAAATTCAATTTTAAGACACATTCAATTGTTTAATAAAATATTTATTTTTGTATTTAAATAATTCAATTCTCGTAGAATTTTTTAATAAATATTGATTTAAAAATCAATTTCAGTTAAAATTTTAAATTATAATTGATTTATTGAAAGTATAATTATAGTGCAGATTTTTAAAAATAATTGAATTTGTAAAAGGTTTCAAATTAAAATCTTTGAAAATTTGAACTTTTCATGCAATTGAAGTTACCAACGTTGTTTCAACAAAAAGATTTTCTCTAAAAAGTTCAGGATACAAATTTGTCTTGTTTATTTTTAACCCAAGTAAACCCTTCAAAAACCCAAAATAAAAAAAAATGGGGAAACAGAAGTTGTTATTTTTTTCTCACGGGTTTTCCAAAAATCACGAAATTTCAACTAAATTAATAATTCCTCGTCTCCGTAGCAATTTTTTTTCTTTTAATAATTACTTATCCTAATGTCAGAAGCCCTTTAAAAAAAATTGCTAAAGGTTTCAAGTCGAGGATAACAGTGATTTTGGTTTTTTTCACGGATTTTCCGAAAATCCGAGAATTTAAAGTAAATTAATAATTTCTCGCCCCGGTAGCAATTTTTTTTCTTTTAGAAAATTTTTTTTTTAATTTGCTCTTTGAATCAACGTTGGTAACTTCAGTTTTATAACTTTTCATACTCTTAATTAAGAATTCTGTAGAATTAATTCGTTTCAAAAAGTTTAATGGAATTTTTTTTTAATTATTTGAAGTTTTTGATTTCTAATATATTTAATTGAAGAAGGTCAGAATAATCGAAATTTCGTAAAATTAAATTGTAAACAAAAGAATTTGAAAAGAACTTTTTCAAAAATTATTTTAAAAAAATTGACGAATTTTAGTTGAAAATTCTAGAAATGAATAATCGTAATGATGAAAATAATTTTTGAAGAAGTTACAGTAACAAAGTAGCAAGTTTTAATTATTATTTATTTATTATTATTATTATTTATTATTATTATTAATTATTATTAGTCTTCGACTCGGGACGCATGATTATTCCCCAAATGTCATTTTACCGAACTGCACTTTTGCGAATAGTCATTTTTGCGAAAAGCCAATTTTGCGAAATGTCACTTTTGCGAATTGTCATTTTTGCGAAAAGCTATTTTTGCGAATTTTCATTTTTGCGAATGGCCATTTTTACGAATTGTCAATTTTCCGAAAAGTCATTTTTGCGAATTGTCATTTTTACGAAAAGACATTTTTGCGAATTGTCATTTTTGAGAAATGTCATTTTTGCGAATTGTCACTTTTGCGAATCGACATTTTTACGAATTTGCAAAAATGACTTTTCGGAAATTTGACAATTCATAAAAATGTCGATTCGCAAAAATGACTTTTCGCAAAAATGACATTTCACAAAAATGTCTTTTCGTAAAAATGACAATTCGCAAAAATATCTTTTCGAAAAAATGACAATTTGCAAAAGTGACATTTCGCAAAATTGGCTTTTCGCAAAAATGAGTATTCGCAAAAGTGCAGTTCGGTAAAATGACATTTGGGGAATAATCATGCGCCCCTTCGACTCGGAGTGATCGCTTTCTTCATGTTTTGTAATAATATTCTCATATGTTATTGAATTTGAAATTTTTGAAAATCTTAATTTCTATGAAAAAATAATAATGATTAAATATTTATTTAAAAATGGAAATCAATCAATTGCGTTGATTAAACTGATTATTATTAATTAAATTAAATTTTGTAATTTTTGAAAGTAATAAGATAAGTTTAAAATTTCATTTTAAACTTTTTTCTAGAGTTGAAAATGAAACCCAATCGAAATTCCCATTTCGTTACCAATCCTAATTTAAAAATTTGTTCACAGTTATTAGCTGGCTAAATAGGAGATTGGCTGATAATCAAACGCCTTTGCACAGTGCATCGAATGCAGTGACGACAGTACCGGCATCAATTCAATTAACACTACCCCGAACAAATAAGTTTATTCCAAATAGATTTGAGACACGAACGCCAGCTCCAAGTTCAACCCAAGCAAATGCCTCTCTCTCGGGACTGACTCTCAGAAATCCGATTATGCAAAATTCGAATATTAACCGATCATCAGCCAGATCTACGGGTGTCGGAGTTGGGGACATGACAACTGGTATGAACTTCAATAAACCTGGACAAATTTCAAGTACAAGCACGCCTCTCGATCGTGTGAATGGTTTGAGTAAATCGCCCAATTCCGGAGGCATGTCGGCGGCGCCTCCAATTATTGAAAATAATAATGCTCCCTTCATGACGAATGGAAAGGCAAAAAACACGACTAATTTGCAGGGAGGCCTTCGTCGTTCCGTAATGGATAAACCACTTTTGCCATCGTCGTATTTTCCCAAGACCCTTCACTAGATTAAAGAAAGACAGGAATACAATATTAGGTAATTCATTTTTAAATAATTATATATTAGAAGAGTACAAATGAGATTGAAACTTGACAGAAAGCAGAACCAAGTCCAGAATCTGCTTTTAAACATAATTTCGAACAGACAATAAAGCTTTTACAAGGAATTATTGTTATGATATTCCTCAAGTTTTAAATCAACGATTAAAGGCATTATAAATAGTTTCGTGACATTTCAGCTTCAAATTAAATTATTTCAGAGCTGCAGCCACAACAGCTGATTTTTTAAAAGCAAAATAACTATCAAAACATGACAGGGTTGCCACGCAACCTGGAAAACCTGGAAAACCTGAAAATTTCAGGGAATTTTATAAACCTTGAAAAAACCAGGAAAAGTCAGGGAATTTTTATCGAAATCCTGGAAAATTGTTATTTTCTAAAGTTTATTCTTGAAATCTAATTTTACATAAATATTCCAAAATTAATTGAATTTTAAAAGAGTTACGTTTACAATTTTCATAAGTATAGATGAATTTCAAAAGATTTTAATTTGAAATTTTGTAAAATTTCAATTTTCAGTTGTCTTAAAGAACGTAGATTTTTGAAAAATTTTAATTATTCCAATTCTTCGGAAATTAGTTGAATTTTTTAATACTTTTAATTGATCATTAAAAATAATGGATTTATAGAAGAATTTAAATTAAAAACACTAAACGAAATTGAATTTTGAAGCAATTACAAATGATTGCAGAAATTCAATTATTTTCAAAAGTCTTAGTAAAATTCTTCTTAGAAATTCAATTATTCCCAACAATTTTAATAAAAAATTCATGGCAAAATTTTAATTATTTTCAAAAACTTTCCTCAATTCAATGATTTTTAATAAATCTACTACTTTAATAAAATTTTCCAAAAGAATTCAATTATTTAAAAAAAAAATTTAATTTCTACGCAAACATTTCATTATTTTCATAAATAATAAAACTCATCTCAGACTTTCAATTATTTTTAATACAATTTTAATAAAATTCCTCGAAAAATGAAATTATTCTTAAAAATTTTATTAAAATTCATCAAAAAAATTCGATTATTTAAAAAGACATTTTAATAAAGTTCGTCTCAAGAATTCAATTATTTTCAAAAGTAATATAATTCTTCGCAGAAATTTAATTGTGTTCAACAATTTACAAAAATTCTCGTCAAAATTTCAATAATCTGTTTATAAATTTTTCTCCGAAATTCAAATATTTTCAAAAATTTTAATAAAATTCTTGGCAAAATTTCAATTATTTTCAAAAACTCTTATAAAAAAAAAGTTTTAAAAACTCTTTTCTCTTTGGAGAAATTCAATTATTTTTAATAAATTTTTAATCAAATTTCCGAAAAATAAACTTATTCTTAAAAATTTTATTAAAATTTGTCAAGAGAATTGAATTATTTAAAAATTTGTTTTATAAAATTCTTTATAAAAATTCAATTTTAAGAAACATTCAATTATTTAATAAAAATTTATTTTTGTATTTAAATATTTGAATTCTCGCAGAATTTTTTAATAAAAACTAATTTAAAAATAAATGTCAGTTAAAATGTTAGATTATTATTGAATATTGAAAGCAATATAGCGCAAATTTTTGAAAATAATTGAATTCTTGCTGAAAATTTTATTAATTTTGAAAATAATTGAATTCATGCGAAGAATTTTGTCAATTTTAAAAATAATTGAATTATTTCGAAGAATTTTATTCATATTTTTGAGAATATTTGAATTCCTGGGAATGATTTTATTATCTATAAAAATAATTAAATTCTTGACAAGATTTTAAAGGAAATATAGAATTAATTTTTCTCAAAAAGTTTAATGGAATTTTTTTTTAATTATTTTAAGTTTTTAATTTCTAATTTATTTAATTGAAGAATGTCAAAATAATCGAAATTTTAGGTAAAATTGAATTGCAAACAAATAGATTTAAAAATTCTCAAAGAAGAATTTTTTCAAAAATTATTTTAAAAAATTGATTTAAAGAAGAATTTTAGTTTAAAATTCTAGTAATGAAGAATTGAATTGAAATTAAATAATTTTGAAGAAATTACAGTAATAATATTTTTATAATATAAAATAATGATAGTATCAAGTTTTAATGATTATAAAATATGAAGAAAGCGATTACTCCGAGTCGAAGACTCGGAGTGATCGATATCTTCATATTTTATAATAATAATAATATTCTTATATGTTATTAAATTTAAAATTTTTGAAAATCTTAATTTCTGTAAAAAAATAATAATGATTAAATATTCATTTAAAAACGAAGTTATTGATGTTTTCGAGTAATTTTACAATTAAAGAAATTCGTAAATAAATGTAATAGAATAGGAAAAAAAGTCGTTTTGTCTGGAGTTTTAAAAACCTGGAAAAATTTCGTTTTTTAACCTGGAAAACCTGCAAAAGTCAGGGAATTTTGATCGGAATCCTGGAAAATTGTTATTTACTAAAGTTATTATGTTTATTCTTGAACACAAAAGAATTCAATTATCTAAAAAGAAATTTTAATCAAATTAGTCTTTCAATTATTTTCAAAAGTACCATAATTCTTCGCAGAAATTCAATTATGTTAAAAAATTTACAATGATTTTCGTCAAAATTTCAATTATCTTTATAAATAATAAAATTTTTTCCTTAACTGATTATTTTCAAAAATGTTAATAAAATTCCTCGTAAAATTTCAATTATATTTTCAAAATTTTTTTTTAAATTTGTTGATAAAATTCTTTATGAAAATTCAATTTTAAGAAACATTCAATTATTTAATGAAATATTTTTGTATTTAAATAATTGAATTCTCGTAGACTTTTTTTTAATAAATATTGATTTAAAAATGAATTTCAGTTAAAATTTTAGATTATAATTGAATATTGAAAGCCATATCTCCATGTTTTATAATAATATTCTTGTATGTTATTGAATTTGAAATTTTTGAAAATCTTAATATCTATGAAAAAATAATAATGATTAAATATATTTATTTAAAAATGAAGTTATTGATGTTTTCAATTAATTTTACTTCTGAAGAAATAAAATAAATTAAATTGTAAATAAATTTGTAGTTTAAAAAACCTGGAAAAATTCCGTTTTTTAACCTGGAAAAGTCAGGGAATTTGAAATGAGCAAAAGCGTGGCAACCCTGATAATATAATTAACTTTTTATAATGCCTGAAACACTGTAGGAAAAGCAAAGTTAATGAGCCGCATTGTTTGAACATTTCAAATACGCATTTAATTTAATTTTCATTATCTATTTAATCGTTAACAAATTGTTTTATATTTAATTATTTAGATATAAATTATTATAACTAACAAAAAAAATTAAATTTTTTGTGATTAAAAAATGACTGATCATTATTAGTAAAGTAATCGGACAACCAGAAATTTCGTTGGAAACTTGAGAAATATCATTTAGAAAATTTAAATTGCATGTTGAAGAAGGATCTAAACGTGAAATAACACTTAGAAAAAACATTTATAAAAATTTGATGTTTAGTTACTTTGAACTTTCTTCCATGATAAATTCTTATTATGTACTATGTCATTATAATTGTATAACTTTTATTGCAGAATTTTTTTTTTCTTTTTCTTTTTTTTTTTTTAAGGAAAATATAATAAAGTCTACTCTGGTACATAGTTAATATTTGATATAAAAATACTTAGATCCTTCTTTGACTTTGACATTAAATTTAATGTAGCATAATTGTAGATTTCTTAAGGGGACAGTTTAGTAATAATTCAAATAAAAGAAGGTTTTTTAAAAACTTGTATTACTCAAAAACTAGAAACTTAACACTGAAGAAATCTTGAGTCCCGCTATCGCATTAACCTCAAAATTGAATACGTTTTTTATTTTACTTCCTTCTTCTTTAATGTTAGAACACTAAAAAACGAATTTAAGAAAATCAGTTTCAAGCGCTGCTTTTTTAAAAAAATTTTTTATGTATATTTAATATTGGAGGTTCGTGCGATAGCAGCAAGTGTCCTGAGTATTTTGAGCCATTTTTGATCAAAGTTGGTTAGAATATTTTCAAAATATTACGCCCGCATTTTTTTTTCTAGAAAATACAAGTCAATATCTTTGAAACAAAAAAAATTTGCTTTAGTTTTTGAGTGAATTAAGTTTTAAAAAAGCCTTCTTTTATTCGACTTATTACTAAACTGTACCCTTAAAGTAAGGGAACAATAGTCTTAAAATGAAAAAAGAGATGATTATACAAATTAATGAAATATAGATTTTAAGCTATGACCAGAAACAAAGGAGAACATACACAAGTGAAAGTACAAAAATGGACCTGGCGAAAATGCAATTGAAAGTCGAAATATAGTGAAGTGACTTAAGCCTTTTACTTTTAAAGGAAGACTTTTTATTGCCAGGTGGGAGACAGTATTCTAAAGAATAATTTGCAGTTTATAATAAGCAGTCATGTTTATATTATAAGTTTTGTACATAGATGAAGAATAAATATTTTATAAAATGAACTACGTTATTTTCAAGTCTCATTGTGTTCTCAAATAATTTTATATCACATTTTAGTATTTTTAATTTACATTTTATGATATGACACTAACCAGGCTTTTCACTTTTTTCTCTTTTATTAATTCACTTAATTTTACTGAAAAAGAAATCTATTTTTTTTTATTAAATTAAAAATAAATTAAAACAAATGAATTATCAATTATTTTCATTTAAGTTAATATAAAAATATTTATTTCAAAATAACCATTTTCTTAAATATTTAAAATATGTTTTGGTTAAATAAAAGAAATTTATTTGAACTATTTATAGAAAATATAGTCTATTATAGAGAGTGTAGCCTTTTATAAAGGCTATCATATAAACTATTACAGAATTTACAGTTCAAAAGAAAAAAAAAGAAAACTCGAAAAATTAAATTAATAAAGTATTCTGAGAAGAAAATATGATTTTCATATCTGTAAATAAGGAAAATATTATCTTTTATACAAGTAAGTTTTTTAACATGTTAAATAATGTTTTGTTTGAAAATTTTATCGATTGTCTAAATCAATAATACTGTTTAAAATATTTAATAACAATAATTAATTTAATAGAGGTGTGATGATAGATTCTGGCGGCAATTCTGAACTTCCTACATCCAATTGAGAAGGATCCATTCTTTTTCGTCTTCGCTCACATTTTGGACAAAGTTTACTAGAATTTAAGCAGCTTGAATGGAAAACAGCATTACACGCTCCGCACTGTAATCATTTTCATTTTCATATTAATTATCAATAAATGCTAAATGAGTATTTTTACTATTTTAAAAGGAAAATGTTCTTTGCTTTTATTCAAGATCAACATTAGGAATTATAATTTAATTTTTGGTCCGTAAAGTCCGTATTTTTAAATACTTTCACTGGTTCGAGTGAAATCTACAGATTTCATTTATTAAGTTATTATTGTTTATATTTTCAATAATTTAAATATAATTTTTCGCAAGGATTCAATTATTTACATAAAATAGTAAATTTTTTTTGCTAAAAAATTAAATTTTTTTTAATTTATAATAAAATTTCACGAAAGAATTCAATTGTTTTTTAAAATTTTAATAAATCATGAAAGAAAGAAATTTTTTCAAATTTTTAATAAAAATTCAAATAAGAATTGAATTATTTTTTTAAATCTTAATAAATCTTTCACTATATTCAATTATATTTTTAAATAGTAACATCTTCGCAAAAATTTAATTATTTTCAAAAAAAATTTCACGAAAGAATTCAATTTTTTTCTTAATTTGTTATAAAATTTTTCAAAAGAAATTCACTTATTTTATAAAAATTTTAATAAAATTCAATAATTTAATTTTTTAATTTCAAGTATTAAGAAACACGATTATTTTAAAAACTTGAAAGAAATTGTTTATAAAATTCAATTACAGTGAAAATTTCCAAATAAAATTATTATTAGCATTTTAAAAAAAATTAAAAAAAATTCTTCAAAAGAATTTAATTAGGATTTTTAAAAATTTTTTAATAACATTTTTTGCAAGAATTCAATTATTTTCATAAATAATAAAATTCTTTTAAGAAATTCAATTCTTCTTAAATTTTTTGATAAATTTCTTTGCAAAAATGCAATTATTTTCATTAATAATAAAATTCGTGTAAGAAATTCAATTATTCTTAAATTTTTTGATAAATTTCTTTGCAAAAATGCAATTATTTTCATTAATAATAAAATTCGTGTAAGAAATTCAATTATTCTCAAATTTTTTGATGAAATTCTTTGCAAGAATTCAATAATTTTCAATATATTAATTTTAAAATTGAAAATATTTAAAAAATTAGAAAACAAAAAAAACAAACAACTAACTTCAAACTACGAACAGATTACCGGAATACAACGATAATTAATATAGATTGTACTTCTTAAAAATTATTTTCATAATTTCAATCCAATTATTATTTTCTAGAATTTTTAACTAAAAGTCTTTTTTCAATCAATTATTTATAATAATTTTCAAAAAAGTTCTTTGTCAATTTTCAAATCTATTTGTTTACAATATTCAATTTTATGAAATTTTAATTATTCGTAAATTCTTCATATATTAGAAAATAAAAACTGCAAATAATATTAAAAAAATTCAATTAAACTTTTTCAAAAAAATTAATTTCAAAATTCAATTATTTCTTAAAATTCACGCTATATTGCTTTTAATATTCAATTATTATCTAAATTTTTACTGAAATTCATTTTTAACTAGAATACTTCTATAAATCCATTATTTTTAATAATTTCTGAAAAGTTCTATGAGAATTTTCATAATTTATTTATTTTACAATTCAATTTTACAAAATTTCAATTATTCGGGCATTCTTCAATTAAATATATGTTAAAAAATAAAAAATTCAAAAAAATAATTTCAAGTAAAGTTCAAATAAACGTTTTCAAAAAAATTAATTCTTCTACAGAATTGTTAGTTAAAATTATGAAAAATTCAAACTTTCAAGGATTTTAATATGAAACCTTTTCAAATTGTCAAGTATTTCTAAAAATTCACGCTATATTGCTTTTAATATTCAATTATAATCTAAAATTTTTAATGAAATTCATTTTCCTAAAAAGAATTTTAGTATTTACGAAAATAATTGAATCTCTGTAAAAGTTTTATTTTTCATGAAAAGAATTGAATTATTGCGAAGAAATTTATAAAAAAAATGGTAAATAATTGAATTTCAGTGAAATTTTTATTATTTTATGAAAATAATTAAAAATATTTCCGTAGAATTTTACCAAATTTTTTTTAAATAATTGAATTCTTTCGAAAAATTTTATTAAAATAATAAATATTGAAAATCATTTAATTGAGGAAAATTTTTGAAAATAATTGAAATTTTGCCAAGAATAGTATTAAAATTTTTGAAAATAATTGAATTTCGGAGAAAAATTTTAAAATTTCTAAGAATAATTGAAATGTTGACGAGAATTTTTAAAAAATTTTGAACGTAATTGTTTTTCTGCGATGGATTTTATTAATTTTGAAAATAATTGAATTTCTGCAATCATTTGTAATTTCTCTAAAATTCTCCTAATTATATCGTACAATTTACGAACTTTTCGTCTTTTTTCTATCAAATTACGAACTTTACGGACCTTTTTAAAAAAAAACACTGACTTTTACGGACTTCAAGTAAATTTGCGGGATTTACGGACCTAGTTCGAGCCTTGTATATAAAATTAATGAATATTTCTAATTCTATGATAATTTAGACATTTTGTTTTTGCTTTCGTCCCTGAATTTGTAAGTACTTTCAGATTTTGAAATTAAAATAAAAAAAAAATTTCCAATTATTACAAAAATTATTAAAATAGTTGACTCACTAGACTATAGTTTATCATATAAATTGATGATAAAAAATTTCCCATTTATTTCTTTATTATTAATGTAAAAATGTATAAATGAAAATTTATGTTTATATTCTTTAACTTTTGAAAGCAATTTACTAGAAAAACTTTTGTCAGAGATTATGGAAATAAAATTCTCTTACCCGATAAGTCGAGTCCAAATCAAATGGATAGATAACTTTCGGATTTTTGCAGACCTCGCAAATGAAGCCTTTTTGACTGCAAAGCCAGCAGCCCATCACATGACTTTTAGCGAATTCAATGATTTTTTGCAGCTGTTGAGCCAGCGCACCATTTGGTATGTCCAACAAGTCAGACACCGAATATTGATGAATATGTTCGTACAAATAGTCTCTGGGAAATACTTTTTTCTGCAGCGATTCAATGACAGGTTCTCGACAAGTGAATAAATAGGCGCGCAACAGATTCAATTGAATTCTCAAAGTTTGAAGTTGAGCCATTTGCTCAACAGCCGAGTAGATTTTCGGATTAATGGTCTTCAAGTCCAATAGAGCTGAGGAATTTAATAAATATGTTGCAGCTCTTTGACAAACTGGATAGTGCTTTAGATCCCAGTTGTGTATGATTCGTGACGGAATCAAGAATTCTTCATCCGACATACAGTTTGAGCAGTAGTAACCTCCAAAGAAAAAGCAGACGTGAGCTTTTGCAAAAGTCATTCCTATCGATTGTCCACAATCGTAGCAACTGTAGTTTTGAGTGTCGAGTCCACGTTCCCGTGGGATTCTTTCTAGTTGCTCGTCAAAGCTCAAAGACATCTGCAAATTAAATCCTATTAAAATTAACTACATACAACAATTTCAACCTAAAACTTAGAGTCTTCGAATATAAACTTCTTTAAAATAAACATTTTAAAAAGAAATAATATGCAGGCTTCGATTTTAACAAAATTTTTATATAATTCTTCACAATAATTAAAAATACTTTCACTATAATAACATTTTTTATTGAAATTCAATTATTTAAAAAATTTTTTGATAAAATTCTAAGCAAGAATTCAATTATTTTCATAAATAAATATATAATCTCATCGATGAATTTCAATTATTTTTAATACAATTTTAAATTAATTAATCGAAAAATTCAATTATTTTCACAAATAAATTAAAATTTTCCAAGAGAATTCATTTAAAATAAAATTTTCATAATATTTATTATATTTCGGAAAAATTAAATATTTAAAACAATGTTTATAAAATCTTATGAAGAATTCAATTATTTAAAAAAAAAATACAAAAAATCAATTATTTAACAAAATTTTTATACAATTCATCACAATAATTCAAAAACTTTTACTAATAATAACATTTTTCATGGAAATTCAATATATTAAAAAAGTTTTTGGTAAAATTCTAAGCAAGAATTTAAATTAGTTAATCGAAAAAATTCAATTATTTTCACAAATAAAGTTTTTCACATAACAATTCAATTATTTGAAATAAAATTTTCATAATAATAAATATTTATTATATTTCGAAAAAATAAATTATTTAAAACAATTGTTTATAAAATTCTTATGAAGAATTCAATTATTATTTTCAAAAATAACAAAATTTTTCACAGACATTAAATTATTTTTAAACATTTTAATAAAATTTTTCGCAATAATTAAATTATTTTCATAAATAATAAAATTCATCGCAGGATTAATAGTGTGCAGTTTTCCCGTGGTCAGTTTACCGGTATGCAGTTTAAATTTGTACAGTTTTTAAATTTAATTTAATGATTTTATTTTTTAAATTTGCTTGTATACAGTTTTCCCGTGTGCACTTGAACGTGGGCAGTTTTCCTGTATACAGTTGAATTTTGGGCAATATTGATACCGCCCCCAATTTTACAGGAATTGCTCGAAAAATGCTAAAATTATTTTTAAAAATTTTATTTCAATTCCTCGAAAAAATTAATTATTTAAAAGAATATTTTTTTAAATTCTTCGGAAGAATTCAATTATTTACAAAAATATTAGAATTTTTCACAGGAATTCAATTATTTATATAAATAATTCTTCGAAACAATTCAATTAGGTCGATAAATAACAAAATTATTCCCGAAAATTGAAGTATTTTGAGGCATTTTAATAAAATTCTTTGTAAAATTCAATTATTTTCATAAGTAACAATATTCATCACAAGAATTCAATTATCTTTAATAAAATTTTTAAGAATAATTATTACATTTTTCGTGAAATTCGATTAAAATATTGTATCAAAAATAATTAAAATCTTGCGATGAGTTTTATTATTCATGAAATTAATTAAAATTATCCCAACAATTTTATTAAAATTTTTCTAAAATAATTGGATTTCGGCAAAGAATTTTATTAATTTATAAAGATACTTGAAATTTTGACAAGAATTTTTTTTTTATCATGATTGAATTTCTGCGAACAATTTTATTATTTATAAAAATAATTGAATTCTTGAAAAGAATTGTGTTAAATTTTTTTAAATAATTCAATTCTTGCGACGAATTTTATAAAAATCTTTTTAAATAATTGATATTTTTCGAAAAATTTTATGAAATTTTGTATTTTAAATAATTGAATTCCTGTGAAAATTTTATTACTTATGAAAATAATTGAATTATTTTAAAGAAATTTATTAAATATTGAATAATTGAATTCCTGTGGAATTTTGACAAGAATTTTATTAACATTTTTAAAAATAATTGAATTTCGATGAAGAATTTTATTATTTATAAAGATAATTGAAAGTTTGACGAGAATTTTTTTTTAATTTTTGAACATAATTGACAATTCTGCAAAGAATTTTTATAATTTTTGAAAATAACTTGAATTTCTGGAGTGATTTGTAACTTTCAGGCTTCGCACTCCATTATGAGTTTTAAAAAAGTAGGAAAAAGTAGCCTCGATGACAAAAAAAAGTAGGAAATAGTAGCCTCGGTGACAAAAAAAAAAAGAATTAAAGAATTTCATTAAAAACTTTTTAGAAAATCTAATTTTCAAAGTACATATTTTAATTTAATAATTGATAAATAATTAAATTTTACGAGGAGTCACATTCTAATGTATATGTCGTAGGCAATTAGAAGAATCAGCCAATTAGCTAAACGCCTAGGCGATTAGCTAAGTGGCGGCCAGTAGACAAATATGCTTGGAAATTATTTGTATTTGTCTACTGGCCTAACAAAATTCGCCATTTAGCTAACTGGCTAGGCAGTTGTCTAATCGCCTAACACGTTTTAGGCGAATAGAAAATATACATCATCCAATGCATGTAAGATTAAAGAAATATTTCACTTTCTCATTTATTATTTTATTGTAATATATATTTATACATGTTTGAACTAAACGAAATGTCACTTTCATCAAAATTATATTGACATAAGTTTTTAAAAATTTTCGCAATTGAAAAAGGAAAATATTAATTTATACTAAAATAAAATTAAATTTATTTCATAAATTCGAATAAGTATAAAGCACTTTGTCAAATATTTTTTAAAAGTAAATATATAATATAAAGATGTCAATATACATCTACTTTCAACGGCTGTGCAGAAAATACTAATAATGCTAATTTATTAAATCTAATATACGAGTTATTAAATATAGCAAAAGTAAACAATATATCTACGAAAACAAAGAATAAATAATTTTGAAAAGAGAAAAATAAACAAAACTATAAAATGAAAAACCAGAATTCAAAAATTATGAATTTATGAAATAAATTTAATTTTAGTATAAATTATTATTTTCCTTTTTCAATTGCGAAAATTTTTAAAAACTTATGTCAATATAATTTTGATGAAAGTGACATTTCGTTTAGTTCAAACATGTATAAATATATATTACAATAAAATAATAAATGAGAAAGTGAAATATTTCTTTAATCTTACATGCATTGGATGATGTATATTTTCTATTCGCCTAAAACGTGTTAGGCGATTAGACAACTGCCTAGCCAGTTAGCTAAATGGCGAATTTTGTTAGGCCAGTAGACAAATACAAATAATTTCCAAGCATATTTGTCTACTGGCCGCCACTTAGCTAATCGCCTAGGCGTTTAGCTAATTGGCTGATTCTTCTAATTGCCTACGACATATACATGTTTCTAAGTGCGAAGATTAATAATTAAAATTTTTATTAGTTAACTTAAAGAAAGATACACACTTCAAATTTTTTAATAAAATTGAATTTTCGCAAAGTTTTTTTTGAAAATTTTGAAAAATTAGATTTTTTAATTCTGTTATTTCAAGATAATTGAATTTTTATAAACAAATAATTGAACATTTTTAATGTAATTGAAATTTCTTTATATTCTATTTCAAATAATTTACTTCTTTTAAAGAATTTTATTTAAATTTTTCGAAAATAATCAAGGAAAGTTAGTCACCGTATAATTATAATTTTATTTTTAAAAATTTATTCGCAATACATTCAATTATTTTCATAAATAGTAAAACTTCGACAAAACTAAATTACTTTCAGGAAGTTTAATAAAATTCATTGTAAAAGTTCAATTATTTCTATAAATAACAAGAATTCAATTACTTAAAAACAATTTTGACAAAATTCTACACGAATATTCAATTATTTTCTAAAGGAATGAAAATTTCATAGGAATTGAATTATTAAAAATAGAGTTTATCTAGATTTTTTTTTTAAAAATCAATTATTTGAAACTTTTTTATAAAATCCTCGCAATAATTCAATTATTTTCATAAATAATAAAACTCATTGCAGAAACAGAATTATGTTTAATAGAATTTTAATCAAATTCGTCGAAAAATGCAATTATTTTTAAAAATTTGATTAAAATTTGTCGAAAGAATTCAATTATTTCAATTATTTTCATAAATATAGCAAAATTTTTCAGATTTACTAAATTCTTTTGAATATTATTTTTGAAAAATATTCTTCACAAGAATTCAATTATTTTCATAAATTTCCATAAAATTCAAAAAAAACAATTCAATTATTTTCAAAAATAATAAAATTCTCCGCAGAAGTTCAATTATGTTTAAAATTTTTTTGAAATTTCAATTTTTTCGAATCTTTAATTATCTTTATAAATAATTAAATTGTTCTCTACAATTCAATTATTTTCAAAAATTTTAATGAAATTGAATTAATCAAATTTTCAATTATAATTATGAAGATACAAGATTTTTTTTTGTTGAAAAAATTCTTTATTTAATTCAATTATTTTTCAAATATTTAATTAAAATTATTAAAAAAAAAACATTATTTGCAAAAAATTTAAAGAAACTCGTCAAAACAATTTAACTATTCATAAAAAATCTAATACAAATTTTTGAAACCATTGGTAGATTTATTTATGTTCGAAATCAAATAAATTTAAATTTGATGAGAAAATAAAACCGGGAAAAATTAGGACAAAGCCAGGAAAAACAGGGAATTTAAAGGTTATCATTTGCAAGAAAATCTAAACACAATTTATAATTAGTCACTATTGATAGAGTAAATGTCGGTAAAACTATTTCCTAATATCTTATTGACTGTCGTTTTTCATTAACGATTTTAGATTTTAACACTGTTTTTAAAATGGAAATGTCAAAACTAAAAATCTAAATTTGACTATTTGTTTAGAAAAGTAGCTTTTAGTAGCATTAGGCTTAAAAAAGTAGCCAAAAAGTATCCTCATATCAAAAAAGTAGCAAATAGTAACTTTTAGTAGAAGAGTTAACTTCGAAGCCTGAACTTTTCGAAAATTAAATTTTGTTTAATATTTTGAACTAAAATTCTTCTATCAATCTAGTATTTATGAAAATTGTAAAAGTTATTCATTAAATAATTTATAAGTCATAATTTTATGATACTTTTTGAAAAATGAAGTTATTTGAAAAGAAATTATTGTCAGAAATAGAAAAAATTGAAGGTTTCGTATTAAAATTCGTGGTAATTTCATATAGTTTACGAGGAAAAAAGGAAAAAAATTCAGAGTTTTCTCATGAATTTTAAAAATTAAATTTTTTCCAGTACTTTTAGTAAAAATCTCTGACTTCCCTGACCTGTGCCAACCCTGAATATGATGAAAAGTTTTTCAAGGGACCAGCATTTAGTACTAAATAAAAGTACCTGTTCATTGGCGGAAGGAGCAATCGTCTCGACAGGGATAGGTTGACTGAGTGGATAAGTGTTGATGAGTTCCTGAAGATCTGGAGACAGACTGTATCCAGCAGGATTGTAGCTTTTGATTAATGCATCGTAAGTGGGAGCTTCTGCTGGGGTGTATCTATTGTCAGAAGTTTGTGATATCACAGATGACGTCAAAGAAGATGCACAGTCTTCGAAAGACGTGGACCAGCCTAATCTCCCTGCAAGAGAATTGCCCACTCCTTGTGCTTCGTTTTTACTGGGTTCTGTCTCATCATCGACATTCTGCTTCAATTCTGCTTCAATCTGAGAGTCTGGCTCGTGAGTTCCATTTTCCTGAATCTTTAAATTATCATCTTCCACATTGCTTTCCCTCGTTGCATCCACTGTTGCATCTTTCTTCTCATGAACCTCTCTTCTTTCTCGCCTCTCTTTCCTTCTTCCCTCCCTTCGTTTGAAATCGTCCCTTACCTCATCGTCCGTTGACTCGGTTCCGATTGCAATGTCTTGTGAATTTTGCAACTCTCTGTGTTTGGTTTTCAAAATAATTTTCAGAGCGTCGTCCTCCGAGAGGCAGCCAATATTGTTAATGGTTGATAAAGAGGAATTGAAGGAACCTAAACTTCCAATAGAACTCGCCGTTTCGATTTCCTCGAACGTGTCGCTACTGTCGTTGCTGATGGTTTTTGCGATATCAACTGCACTGAAAACTGGACAAGACTTGAGTGGAGGAGACCAAATTGCCGCCATTAACAGAGGAGTGCTTGACCAAAAATTCAGCAGACTCGAATTACAGGCCAGTTCAAATCGAACGTAGTCCATGTTCTCAATCAACTTTTGGGTAATTTCAACGAGGTCCAAGTCTCTGATGAAGGCTGCCTTGTTGTAGTAAGGTTTCAGTGCAGAATTATCTCGATGAATGGACATGAAGTAGCTGGCCAAGAAGCCCTCGTTCAAGGCGATTCGAATCCAAGCCCTGCAGTAACCGACCTCAGTCGTGACCTGAGGCAGCGCCTGTATTTGATCTATAATTTGTCGATGGGAAAAGACGAGCAACGGTCCCCAAAAACTCGGCTGTGGCATTGCGTCGAAGTCGGGACCACTCAGCGCTTCCGTCACTCTATTCAGAAGACTGTCCTTCAGTCCATGAAGAAAAATTGCCTCCAAAACGGAACAAAGTGCGATTGTTTCTTCGCAGTTCGACACGGGAATGCCTTCTACGACTCCTGGCGCACTTTGCATTTCCATAACGCAAGCATTCAATTGCCTTTGGAGCGACTCCCGAACAAGAATGTCTCTCTTGTTTGCTGCAGAATTCACCTGAGGGAAAATAAATCAATTATTCTTCTTTCAGAGAAACAGAAAATATGACGCAACAGTTCTAGCAACACTTTCACAGAGTTGCCACGCTTTTCCTCATTTTAAATTCCCCGACTTTTCCAAGTTTTCCAGGTTAAAAAATGTAATTTTTTTCAGTTAACTTCTTTTGGCAAAATATAACTGTAGTTTTGCCAAATAAAATAACTCCACCCCTGATTTACAGACAAAACTTTGACTTTTTCTTCCCTGATTCTAAAGAATATTCTTCAAGAATATTCTTCAATTTTAAATAAATATTTAATCATTATTATTTTTCCATTAGAATTAAGATTTTCAAAAATTTCAAATTCAATAACATATGAGAATATTATTACAAAACATGAAGAATGCGATCACTCCGAAGAAAACGATCGCTTTCTTCATGTTTTATAATAATTTAACCTTCCTACTTTGCTACTGTAACTTCTTCAAAAATTATTTTCATCATTATTCATTTCGATTATTCATTTCCAGAATTTTTAACTAAAATTCTTCTTTAAGTCAATATTTTTTTAATTTTTGAAAAAGTTCTTTGAGAATTTTCAAATTGTTTTGTTTACAAATTAATTTTACGAAATTTTGATTATTTTGACATTCTTCAATTAAATATATTAGAAATTAAAAACATCAAATAATTAAAAAAAAATTCCACTAAACTTTCCGAAAAAAATTAATTCAACAGAATTATTAATTAAAAGTATGATAAGTTCAAATTATCAAAAATTTTAATTTAAAACATTTTGAAATTTCAATTATTTCTATAAAAATCCTCGCTTTCAATATTCAATTATCATCTAAAATTTTAACTGAAATACATTTATAATTCAATATTTATTTAGAAAATTTACGAGAATTCAATTATTTAAAAATACAAAAATAAATATTTTGTCATATTGAATGTTTCTTAAAATAGAATTTTCATAAAGAATTTTATCAACAAACTTTTAAATAATTGAATTCTCTTGACAAATTTTAATAAAATTTTTAAGAATAATTTCTTTTTTCGAGAAATTTGATGAAATTGTATTAAAAATAATTGAACTTCTGACAAGAATTTTATTAAAAGTTTTGAAAATAGTTGAATTTCGGAGAAAATTTTTATTAATTATAAAGATAATTGAAATTTTGACGAGAATTTTGGTAAATTTTTGAACATAATTGGATTTTTGCAAAGAATTATATTACTTTGGAAAATAATTAAATTCTTGAGATGAATTTTATCAAAATTTCTTTTTAAATAATTGAATTCTTATGTGAAATTTTATTAAAATACATAGTAGAAATTGAAAATAATTGAATTTTGACAAATTTCTGAAATTAATTAAATTGAATTGTTAATTAAAATTTTTAAAAATAATTTTATTTTTTTAAGAAATTTAAATAAAATTGTATTGAAAATAATACTTAAATTCTAATAAATAAATTGTAGCAAAAGTTATTAAAATAATTCAATTTCTTTGATAATTTTTAATACAATTTTTAAATATAATTACATTTTTCCAGGAATTCTATTAAAATTGTATTAAAAATAATTGAAAGTCTGCCATGAGTTTTATTTTATTTATGAAAATAATTGAATCCCTGTAAAAAATGTTATTATTTATGAAAATAATTTTTAAATAATTGAATTCTTGCGAAATTTTTATATTTGTTTTAGTGTTTTTAACCAAAATTCTTCTATAAATCTAATATTTTTATAATCAATTAAGTATATTTTGAAAAAGTTAACTAATTTCAGAAGAATTTTAGTTGTTATAATTATTTTAAAATTTATGTTTTTTAAAATTTCGAATTAAATTCATTTAAAACTGAAATTTTTCAAAATTTCAAATTAAATTTTTTTGAAGTTCATCTATTTATGAAAATTGTAAACACAACTCTTTTAAAATTGAATTAATTTTGAAATATTGAAGTAAAATTAGATTTGAAGAATAAACACAATAACTTTAGAAAACAACAATTTTCCAGGATTTCGATCGAAATTCCCTGATTTTTCCAGGTTTTTTCAAGGTTTATAAAATTCCCTGACATACCCAGGTTTCCAGGTTGCGTGGCAACCCTGATTTCACTTTGTTCTCCAAATACAAAATTGACAATAGAATACTCACCTTTCTCAGGAGGGAAATCATTGCTAAATTGACACTTTGCGTAATTACTGAGCATCCAATCGTTGCATACGATCATGGTTCAAAAAAATCATCACCTAGATTGATCGTAGGAGTCGAAAACTGCTGCCTTGACGAAAGTGACAAAACAAAGACTGACGTATGAGTCAAAAGGAATTTCGCGTGTATCAAGCATGTCTGTGCTGAGGAGGAAGTACGAAGTGACTATCAATGAGGCAAGATGATAAAGTAAATTACTTGAACTTCGACCCGATAAAATCGTCTGCTAGTATTCAAGAATTATATCATCTATATCACTATATAAGTATTTTCCTTTAAGGTTAGAATGACGCATCCAAACAAATATCTTCATTTACTTTTGGAGAAACTGATAACAACGAATGTATTTTAAATTTTATCCGAATTGTTCAATACCCTCGTAGTATTGCGTAACATTTTATTTACGTCGTTTTCAACAATAAACTTTAAATCAAAAATCAACACATAACAACACAACTTGACTACTCTTTCTACTCTTTTTTCTTGTTTTTGCTCTTTCCCATTCCCGAGGATATGCGCACGCAATCACGCATTCGTACTATTCCGAACTTGCCTATATATATATATATATACAATTTACCTGAAGTGATCCGAAGACACATTTTTAAATTATCATAAAACGGTAAATTTCTTTAGTTTTTAACGTTTTCAATGGGTACTAATGAAAGAATAATAAAAATACGTGACGATATTTTTTGATTCATTCATATTTATCTACAATAAAATTGTTATATTTGCGAATATCAATTTACTGCTTGATTAGTAAAAAAATAGGGTTATATTTCAACATGTTTTTTTTTTATCGCAATGCTTCACATTTTTCACTTTTATACAATTTAAAAATGATTAAACGTTACAATCACACTCACTGTTTTCTGACACATTTTTCAACGTCCTTTCGATTGATATGCAAAATTGGAACAAATTACAAAAAATACTATAAAAATCACATTCTTCGTTGTGATTAATAAATTGGCATTTCATGAAGAAAACAAGACAAAAAAATTCATTTTCATCCGGCCAGAAATGTAGCATTTTAAAAAATTACTAGCAACAATTCACGCGCTAAAGAGCGCGGCTAACTTCTTCCTCCCTTTTTACATTCTCATCACATGAGAAGGTATTAGTTTTGGTCGAAAATTGACTTTTGCTAATTTTATGAAATCTACGTTTTGGGGTCCCCTGAACCCGAAAAACATGGTCCGGCGATGGTGTCTGTCTGTCTGTCTGTCTGTAGACCCAAAATTTTGTTCGCACGATAACTCTTGAAAAATTTATCCGATCGTTTTTAAATTTAACACACTTAAAGTTGTTGTAAAAATGAAGGCTAAGTTCGTTAACCAGACATTTTCGTTGAAAAATACAAAAACTACAGTACTTTCAAAATTTTGAAAAATCAATTTTTTCAAATTTTCATTTACATATAAGTCAACTTAATCTTGCAATCATCAGCAAACAAAAATATGTGATGAGAATGTTAATATCCTTAAAGTCGTAGTAACTTTAAGAAAAAAGTCTTATAAAACATATAATAAGAAAAAGGAACAAAAACGCAAGTAATGCACAATTTCCGCGGACGACTGCGCGATTCAATTTTGGAGAAATGACAAATAATTGCAGAAATTCAATTATTTTCAAAAAAATAAAATAAAATTCCTCTTATACAATTCAACTATGTTCAAAATTTGAAAAAAAAATTCCCGTAAAAAGCCCAATTATCTTTATAAATAACAAAATTCTTGCCCTAATTTCAATTATTTTCAAAAAATTTTCTAATTTCAATGATTTTCCATATCTACTATTTTATTAAAGTTTCCCAAAAAGAATTCAATTATTTAAAAAAATTTTTAATAAAACTGTATGCAAACATTTAATTATTTTCATAAATAATAAAAATTTCACAGGAATTCGATTATTTTCATAAATAATAAATTTTTTTTAAGGAATTCAATTATTATTTTCATAAAAAATAATTTTAAATTCTAGAAAATAATAATTGAATTAAAATGATGAAAATAATTTTGATGAAGTTACAGTAACAATATTCTTATAATATAAATCGAAATTATAATATAAATCGATCGCTTTCTTCATGTTTTATAACAAATACTTTTATAAGTTGTTTAATTTAAAAAAGGTTTGAATTTGAAATTTTTGAATGTTTTAATTCCTGTGGAAAATCCTGTTCCAAAAATAAGATTAAAAATAGGAATTGTGCAAATATTTTTCTTCTTTTACTAAAACAAAATAATAAATTTGTTAAAAAAATTGTGATTCATAAACAAAAAGAATGCAAAATAACTAAATTTTCTATTTCTTAATCACAGTTGTTTAATAATTTTCTAATTTTTTTTAGAAGTAAAGAACAAAAATAATTTCAATTTGACAAAACATAATATTTAACAAAATTTTAGTCTTTTAATGAAAAGAAGTAAAAAAAATCTGATGATTTCTATTTGTCATTTCAATTTTGAATTAATTATAAAATAAAAATAATTAAAACATAATAATCTTTTTCGACTTTTATTCCAAACATTACAACAAAATACCACAATTTTTAGTAAAAAATTGCAACTTATTTTGATTTTTATAATGCGAAAAATAACTATTAACAAATCTTTCAAAAATTGTATTAGAATAGTTGAAATTTTGTAAAATTTAATTGAAAATTATTTATTTCAAGTACTTTGTTACAATTTTTGAAAATCAACTTTTGAAGAATTTTAATTGCAAATTTTGAAAATAATTGAGTTATCAAAAATTTTAATGAAAAATCTTTAAAGGTAGGTATACATTTAAAAATGCGAAAATAAGCTTCTAATTTTTTTAAAATTCAATATGTTTAATATTTTCAATAATTACATATTTCCAAAAATAATAACATTTTAGAATTATTTTTAACATTTTGGAGAATACAATAATGTTCAAAATTTTTAATTAAAATTTATCAAAAAATTCATTAGTTTTTTAAATTATACAAAAATTCTTTTAAGTAAATACAATTATTTTCGAAAAATTACATTAATAAAATATTTTTAAAAACTAATTATTAGAATTGTTTTGTAATAATTTTATTTAAGATTCAATTATTTTCTTGGACTTATTAAAATTTTTGACTTTTGAGAAATCATGGTCCTATTTATAATTAAAATTCTTCAAAAATTTGATCATTTTTATTTATATTTTTCAAAAATCCAATTATTTTTAAAAGATTTTACCAAATTTTAATATTATATAATTTTTTTAAAATATTATATCTTAATAACTAAAGAAAAAACTATGGAGAGTTAGTAGAATTATTATAAATAATTGAGTTTTTCTATTAAAATAATTGAATTCTAGAAGAACTTTTGGAAAATTATTTAAATTAATTGATTCAGACATGAAGTTTTGTTGAAAATTGTAGAAAATAATTAAATTCAGGAAGGGTTATAATTGTAATTTTTAGAAATTATTAAAGTTCATAAATTTTACTCATTTTCCGTAAACATTAATATTTCCCTTTATAAAAAGAATTTTGTTAGGGAAAGTTATTTTAATGTCAGTAAATTGTCAGGGAAATTGATAAACTGAAACCATTTGTTAATTTTGAAAAGTTTATATTTGTAAATCGAAAAAACTTATTTCTTTTTATTAATTTTTGAATTAGAATGATATAGAGTTGTCTTATATTTTGAAAAAACACCTGTTAAAACTTTTAACCTCTTGTTTTTTAAACTTTAAAAGAAAAAGTCTTTCTTGATACATATAGTGATAATACTGCATGATCAAGGTACATATATATACAGAAATGTTAAATATTTCAGAGCAGCTTAATATGATTCAACGTTTTATTCCATCTAATAAAAATGAATCTTTCTGGAGAATCATCCATATAAATTGGGTTTATAAATAAATTTGTTGATTGTCAATTTCTTTTCTTGAAAATATTTTTATTTCTTTAAAAAATGCTGTTAATAATATAATAATATTTGAATTATTGAAATGTAAATTAATTATTTTTCTAGAGGTCTGCACTCTGTTGGATGAAGCACCTTAAAATAGAAATATAAATCAAGTTGGCATTTCCCCTTGAAATGGAAGAAAATAGAATTGAATTTTCCATCCGCAATGTTGTAAATTATTCAGTAATTACATTCTGCTTATATTTTAGCAGTAGTCACTGCTTTTTCCTAAGTAAACAGGGACGTTAACAGGTTTTCTTTCCTAGGCCTATATTTAGGTGCATAGGGGGCATTCGATTGTTGAAAGAGTGCAGTTGGTGCGTCTTCTCCCTGTTTGACGACGACGACGACGGTATATGGCGAGATATGGTGAAGTGAAGGGAAAAGAAGATAAGCGCAAAGATTGCAACTTTGCAAAAAAGAAAGATCAGTTTAATTAAAAACATTTATTTTATTTATTTTATTTAATACCTAACATGCATCATTTCTTTATTTTCTAAAATTCTATTTCATTTCCCAATAAATTATAGTTATTTTTTCATAAAAACAACTATACAATTTTCTCAATATGTATATCGAAACTATTTTACATTTGAAATAATACTGAACACATGATAGAATTATGTATAGAAACATAAAATTTACGCTTTCTTTCGTCATTATACTGTGGAAGCCAAATTAAATGCCCGAGCACATGTGAATCCAAGCACGATAATAATGATGCACTAAAACATAGTTTTGCAAAAAAAATTTCTTACATCATAATATTATATTATATGTATGTATGAAATATGGAGAAAATGTAGTTTTAGATTAAATAATTATTATTGTATTTGAATTACATATATGGGAAACATAATTCTCGGTTTGTCATCAACTTATTACTTCTTACGAGTTTGTTTATTACACACGATTTGTGAAAAAAATTGTTTCATCCACATATAACCAATTACTTGTCTATTATCAAATATAAATATTTATTCGAATCAGATCATTTTTAACCAATAATTTTATAGTATTAACAGAATTTATATTGAAGAGAATTTTTCTAAATCTGAATATCAAAATAACGGATTTTTTGTTCAATAAAATTTATATTAACCCAAATTTTTTATTAATAGAATTTCTATATTTAATTGCCATTATTTCTATTTAATTGTGTTTCTATTTAGTTCAATTCTGAAGTTTTAGAATTTTTAATTCTCGAAATCTCTAGTGGTTTTTAATTAAATTTTTTTTATTAAATTCGACCTTGTAAACCTGAAAACAGTGAACATTTGAACTATACATATAAGGTGAGAAATAATCATTCGTCCCATAAAATAAGAATTTTTCAAAATGTTAAGAGTTAAAAAAGTGCATGTTTGATTTTATCGATTTTATTCAATTTAAAAAATTTCCCTACTGACAACAAATTTTTTCCCTGACTTGTGGTAATCCTGGTCTAATTAATGAAAATTGTTTATTATATAAATATATATATATATATATATATATAATACTTTTCTTTCTCCCTTTTTAAATTTAGATTTTCACCGTTTTCAAGATTTATTTTTGTATGCAGACCCCCAAAGTTTTCTTCGTTACGTTATTTGAATTATATTTCTAATAGAATTATTTTTAAACTATGAAATGAAAAATATTTTCTGTATTGTGTAATATTAAATATATAGGTATGTAATAGGCCATTGAAACAAATTTAAAAGTCAATCTAATTCGTTATTTTTCTATTTAAAAAAATGTATATATGAACAATTTAATTGAGTAAAAACTTTATTTTCAACACAAAACCTTCAATTTTTTCAATTTCTAACAAAAATTTCTGTTTAAATAACTTAAATCTTGAACAACTATCATAAAATAAATAAATTATTTAATGAATAACTTTACTTGAATATTTTAAAATAATTCAATTTTAAAAGAGTTGCGTTTATAATTTTCATAAATAAGTGAACTTTAAACGGTTATTTAATTTGAAATTTTAGAAAATTTCAATTTTCAATGAATTTAATTAGAAATTTTAAAAAACTTAAATTTTTGAAAAATTCTAATAATTAGAATTAGAATAATTCAAAATCTTCTAAAATTAGTTAAATTAGTCAATATATATTTAATTAATTATTAAAAATAATGGATTTATAGAAGAATTTTAGTTAAAACACTAAAAAAATTGAAAATTGAAGAAGTTACAAATATGATTGCAAAAATTCTATTATATGTACTATTTCAAAAGTAATAAAATTCTTATCACAAAATTCAATTATGTTCAAAATTTACAAAAAAATCTCGACAAAATCCTAATTATTATCTTTATAAATAAAAAAATTCTTTTTCAAAATTCAATTATTTTCAAAAATTTTCCTCATTTTAATGATTTTCAATTTCTACTATTTTAATAAAATTACCCAATAGAATTTAATTATTTAAAAACAATTTTAATATAATTGTACGCAAACATTTAATTATTTTTATAAATAATACAAATTTCACAGGAATTCAATTATTAATAAATTTTTTATAAGTTTCTTCTTAATAATTCAATTATTATTTTCAGAAATAATAAAACTTATCGCAGAATTTCAATTATTTTTAATACAATAATTTTAATCAAATTCCTTGAAAAATGTAACTATTCTAAAAAAATTTATTTAAATTCGTCAAAAGAATTCAATTATTTAAAAATTTGTTAATAAAATTCTTTATAAGAATTAATTATTTAATAAATAATTTACTTTCGTATTTAAATAATAAATTGAATTCTCATCGTAGAATTTTCTAATAAAAGTTGATTTGAAAATAAATTTTAGTTTAAATTTTTGATAATATAATAGAATATGAAAATAATTTTTAAGAAGTTACAATACCAATATTCTTATAATATAAAATAATGATTTTAACACTCGATCCTCTTTAATTATTATAAAACATAAAAAAATCGATCACTCCGAGTCGAAGACTAGGAGTGATCGTTATCTTTATGTTTTATAACAATATTTTTAAAGTTGATTAATTTCAAAAAGGTTTGAATTTGAAATTTTTGAAAATCTTAATTTCTATGAAGAAATAATAATAATTAAATATTTTAAATATTTAAAAAAGAAATTATTGTCATCGAATAATTTTACAATAATTAAAGATATTTACGTAAATAAATTTAACAGAACATTTTTTTCAATAATTGTTTTTCTTTTATTTTCTAAAAATTCAAAAATTTTCAGTTTCATTTTCAATTAAATTTTCAAATTGACAAATATAATTTATAAACATTTTTTTTCTTTATTTTTAAAAAACTTTGAATTTTAATAAAAGAATTGAAATTAAGAAATATATATAGAATTGATGACAATTATTTCCTTATGAAAATTGAGAATTTTCTGCGCAAAAATACTAAGAAACGGAAATATCATAAATGTTTTTTTTCCCAAAAGAAAAATAAATGAGTTTGTAAACAATATTATGTTATTGAGAAATAAAAATCATGCATAAAATGGGTATATTTTCTAATTCTTAATAAAAATTTTTTAACAATTAACAATTTTCTAGTATTTTTTATAAATAAAAAGGAGAATAATTTGCATAATAATGTATAGATCAGTCAAACGAAATTTGTTTTCAAGGTCCCACTCTGATTTTTACATGACGAGTTCACACACTTTTGATTTGATTAATTTTACTTATCAATCATTTATCTATATTTATTAACAATATTTTCAAAAAAGTCAAAATTTTGAAACTCCGTAACTCCAAATATATTTTATCAAATTCAATAATAATTCATATTTCCACTTTTAGTAATAATAGTAACATTTTGGCAAAGTTTCGAGAAAATTCATTTTTCGACCTGGACAGGTTTTTGACCTCTATACAGGTTAGAAATGATGTACTTTTGGTGCGTGTGTTAGAAAAAGGTAATTTTAATAAAAACGATTTTATATCACAGTTTATAAATTGAAAATATTGATACCAATAATTTCAGTATAGTGAAATAAAGATTTAAAAGAAAAGCAGAAATAATATAAGTGAAGACCTCTTTCATTGAAATACTGAAATAGGACAGAATTATATTTTCTTTGCGTAGGTCTGTTTTTTATGGAGGTTCCCAGCTCGAGAGTTCCGGCACTGGCTGGTCTCTCTTCACGTTCGCGCAGGTTCTCCACAAAGATCTCTCAACTTCACAGCAACACTAGCAACAGTAGGCTCGGTGCAGGCAGCAAACGAGGGTTGCCGACAAAACGGGGAGAGGCGAGAGAAGAGCAGTTCGTACGGTCGCTCGCTCACTTGGGTTTATTATTAACATCCCTCTCTCTGTCTCAGGGTTTTCTTTTTTTACCTGCCCTACGATCGGTGTGAGTGAATCCGTCAGTGTCTCGGCCAGGGTTAAATGAAACTGGTTTTTCTCTGTTCTTCCTCATCTGCCTCATCTTTCGGAGCAGACCCTGGTCCTGCCCTTATCGAGCGATCCGAGTGCACGTGTTTCGGGGTTGTTGTCCGACGCCAGCTCGTCCCCTGTAATTTTCAATATCCATTATTACTATGATATGTTGCATTGGTTGCATTCGTCTTTTCACCGACTATTGGATCATACTTGATTTCTGCTCGCATCGCTGCAGAAACAACTGATTCGTGACTTCGTGTCGTGTTAATTCTCGACAAGGATGCTACGGAAACTGTGAAATTCCAGCGAGAGAGGAAATATCATATTTGCAACTCTATCGAGTGCTGAGAGGAAGTGTGGATCGGAAATACCCGCAGAAATGACAGGTAATAGGCTTTCAATTGAATCCTTTCAAGTGCATTTGCTCGTGTGTGCAAGGATGAACGAGTCGCGAGAAATGGAGTCAGATGTTTAAAGAACACTCTCAGCAATTAATGCTTAGGGAAAAATTACTTCTTCCTAAATTTCAATGTCAACTTTTTCATTATTCATGTAGATAATTTAATTTTGGGGAAAAAATGATTAAAATTAATATACGGTACTAATTGCTCTTCATCATTATTGAATTCACATTGTTACGTGATCGAAAGATTATCTCAATTATTTGAATCTGGGTCTCTTTCGTGCAACACATAAATGTTATGGTGAAAGTGCCCATTTTCAACAATTGTGCTAATGATTGATAATCTTGTATCTAGATCATGGTCATGTATTCTTTTATTAAACTTTGGACGCCCAAAGGAGAAATGTTGGATTAATTTCAACTTTAGGATTTAGAGGACGTTCGTGAATCCAAGTTTACTTCAATTCCTTCACGCTTGCTGTCATTTTATTTTCAAACTATAAAACTTATGATAAATTTATAACAACTATTGAAATAACAAATTAACAATATTGCTGAAAATGGAATAATCGATTTGTTTTCTTTTCAACAGTTTTAAGTTTGAAATGAAAGGGTTTATGCCACCATTTCTAGATGCAAGCGTTTATCGACTAACTGTTTAATGATTGCTGTTTATTCCTTTTGTTGATGAGTAAAATTTATCAGTAGTTGACCGTTCAAGCACATAAAACCGGCTTTAACGGATATCATAAACTACAAACAAGTCCCCCGACACTAAAATTAAAATATTTTTGTAAAAAAAATCTCATACTTGCTTCTATCTCATTGCAAATGTGATTCGACTGTTTTTATGGACTTTTTATTAAGGGAATTAATTATTACTTTTACATGATTATTAATTCATACAATTAAATGTATGATTTATTTCAAAGAGTAAATAATTTACACTCGAAAAAATAAGACTTACATTCAATAATAAATGTTGATTTTTAGAAAATGGGAAACTTTGCTGTGACTGCTTCTTTTTCTCTAACTTGAATAAAAAGTATATATTTAAATTGTTAATATTTGAGAAATATTTATTTTTTACAAAGCTCTTTGTTTCCAGAGTTAAGCATAAAGAATTCTCACATATTTTCCGTTGAAATATAAAACTACGTTTTGAATCTGTGTGATTACTGATTAATAATTAAATTTTAGTTGATAAAATTTGATGTGTAATTTTTTTTTACTTTCACAAGGGCCAAAGAAAGGATGAAGAATTTATTAATCTTATTTTATAAATATATTGTAGTAATTCTAATGAATTTAAATTTTCACTATTGTTTAGAAATACTCGACAGTAATTGTGAAAAACTATTGAAACCTGTATAATGGTCTCAAATCAAGTCAGGAGTAAGAAGCAATAATTATTTCCGCTTTAGGATACATTCTCTTTAGGGATAACATAATATAGAAAAGAGATTGTCGAGTTATTCGTAATTGACATTTTTCAAAGAATTAATTATGACTGTTCATTTTCTATTTGAAGGATTTTGTCTTCTTTATTTTATTATTATTTGAAATTTTACTGAGAATAATGTTTAGGTGCACGGAGAAAAATATAAAGTAACTTTTACTATACTTTCATAGTAAAACCTAAATTGTCAGAAACTGCTGCGCATTTTTGGTAACGTTTACTACTTTCGGAGTAAATTTTGCTACATTCGAAGTGAATTTTACTACTTTACAAATATGTTCTTTGAACGTAGTGAAATTTACTTCCAACGTTGAACGTACAACCAAGATTTTTAGCAAAATGAAATCTATGGCAATATGTTTAGGTGAAGCGCCCAAAACAATCATTATTCGCAGAGATTCAATTATTTTCTAACGGTGAATCACTGACTTCTTCGAATATCATTATCATGCCTCATTCATAATATTTTATCCGTTTTGCTAGAATTTACAAGAGAATTTTATTGTTTTCATTTAGACTTTTATTGTCTTTGAATTTTATTATCCAATTGATTTCATTTTCTTGGAATTTTATCTGAATTTTATAAGCAATGAATTTGTGTATTTTACTGTCCGTGGATTTAGTTTGTCATAAATTATGCGAATTTTACTGTTCAGGAAAATGACGGAAGAAAATAACAAGTTCAGAGTTCCCACACAACCTGGAAATCTCAGGGAATTTTGATCGGAATCCTGGCAAATTATTGTTTTCTAAAGTTATTTCGAGCTTATTCTTGAAATCTAATTTTTCTTAAATATTTCAAGATTAATTCAATTTTAAAAGAGTTGCGTTTCTATTATTTACAAATTTGTATTAAATTTCTGCGCCATAATTCAATTATTTTCATAAATAATCAAATTTTTTACAGAGTCAATTAATTTTATAAATAATAAAAAAACTTTATAGGTTTTCAATTATGTTCATAAATAAATAAAACTCATCGCAAAATTTCAATTATTTTTAATACAAATTTTAATGCGGAATTTCTCAAAAAATTTCATTATTATTCTTAAAAATTTTATTAAAATTCATCAAAGAAATTCAATTATATTAAAAAGCCTTTCTATAATTTATTTATAAGAATTTAAGTATTATTGATAATAAATTTTTATTTAAATTTCTTGAAAAAATCCAATTATTTTCAAAAGTAATAAAATTCTTGGCAGAAATTCAATTATGGTCAAAAGTTTTATAAAATTCTCATCAAAATTCCAATTATCTTTATAAATACCTAATAAATTTTTTTTTCAAATTTCAATTATTTTCAAAAATTTTCCTCATTTCAATTCTTTTTAATATCTATTATTTGAATAAAATTTTCCAAAAGAATTCAATTATTTAAACAAAAAATTTAATAAAAATTTCACTGGAATTCAATTACTTACCAATTTTTTATAAATTTCTTCACACGTATTCAATTATTTAAAATTTTTTAATGAAGTTTCTCGAAAGAATTCAAATACAATATAGAGAATTAAAAAAATAGTTCTGAGAAATTTAATTATTTCGAAAAATTTAAATAAAATTCTTTTAAAAATTCAATTTTAAAAAAATTTTGATAAAATGCTTTATAAATTAAAAAAATTATAATAAAATTGATCATAGAATACAATTATTTTCGTAAAAAATAAAATTATTCGAAGTAATTCAGTTATTTAAGAAATTTTAATAAAGTTCTTCCTAAGAATTCAAATCTTTGCAAAAATAAAATTTTTCACAGGAATTTAATTACATAAAAAAAATTTAATACTATTTTTCATCAGATTTTAATTATTTTCAATTTTTCAATGAAATTTCTCTACGGAATTTAATTATTTTCAAAAAGTCTTCTCAATTCAATCAAATTTTTACAGAGATTCAATGAAGTATTTTTAATAAAATTTTAATCTAATTTCTCGAAAAATGAAATTATTCTTAAAAATGTTATTAAAATTCGTCAAAAGAACTGTAGGTAATTACCTACTTAGAAATTTGTAAAATAATAAAATTTATTAAAGAATTTCATTAAAAACTTTTTAACAAATCGAATTTTCAAAGTATTTTAATTTAATAATTGATAAATAATTGAATTTTATAAAGAGTCACATTCTAATGTATTCATGTTTCTTATTAGTGCGAAGATTAATTATTAAATTTTTATTAGTTATTTTTAAAAAAGATACACACTTAAATTTGTTTATTAAAATATTGAATTTTCGCAAAGTTTTTTTTTGAAAATTCTGAAAAATATAAGATTTTTTAAATTTTTCAATTCTGTTGTTTCAAGATAATTGAATTTTTATAAACAAATAATTAAAAAATTTTGAAATAATTAAAATTTCTTTACATTCTATTAAAAATAATTAACTTTTTTTAAAGAATTTTATATTTAAATTTTTCGAAAATAATCAAGGGAAGTTGGTCACCGTAATTATAATTTTATTTTCAAAAATTTCTTCGCAATATATTCAATTATTTTCATAAATAGTAAAATTCAATGCAGAATTTCAATTATTTTTAATACAATTTTAATCAAATTCCTCGAAAAATGTAATTATTCTTAAAAATTTTATTAAAAAAACAAAAACATTATTTAAAAAAACATTTAAAGAAACTTGTCAAAAGAATTTAATTATTCATAAAAACAAAATATACTTTTAAAGAATTTTAATTTCAAAAAAAAATTTTAATATATTTCGAATAAATTCAATTATTTTCAAAAATCTTAATAAATCCTTCGAAACAATTCAACTATTTTTATAAATATAAAATACTAAATAAATTTTCCAAAATTTACAATAAAAAAGAGTTTCAATAATTGAAATTTTGTAAAATTAAATTGAAAATAATTTATTTTTTTCAAAGTATTTGATAAAAATTTTTGAAAATAAACTTTAAAAGAATTTTAATTGTAAATTTTGAAAATAATTGATTTCTCAAAAATTTTAATGAAAAATCTTCAAGTGTAAAAATTTAAAAATGGTATATAATGAAAATTAGCTTCATAAAAATTAGATTAAAATATTTTTGAAAAAAGTAATTCTTAGAATTTTTTGCATTCTAATTTTTTAAAATTCAATTATTTTTAATATTTTCAAATACAAATTTCCAAAAATTCAAATACATACAAAAAATAATAACATTAAAATTTTTTACAATTATTTTTAACTTTTTTAAATTTATTAAAATTTTGAAAAAATCGCGTTTATATTAATAATTATAAAATTCTTTAAAAATTCAATTATTTTTTGAATAGAATTTACCAAATTGCAATTGTTTAGAAATTTTTCAATTCTATATATAATTGAAAAACTATTATCTTTCATAAATTATTTTAAAAATATTTTTGAAAAATTAATTTTAAGAATTTCTTTATTATAATTTTTTGAAAATTAATTAATAACTTAAAAAACATGGACGGTTAGAATCATTATAAAGAACTGAATTTTTGTATTTAAATAATAAATCTGTTTATATTGTGGCCTTAAGGTAACAATATAAACAGATTTATTTGACAAAAATGAAGGTCCTGAAAACATTCTAAGTTGTATTTAAATAATTGAATTCTCTAAGAACTTTCGGAAAATTATTGAAAAATAATTGATTTCGAGAAGAAGTTTGATTAAAAATTGTAGATAATAATTGAATTTTAAGAGAGTTAAAGTTGTAATTTTTAGAACTTACTAAATTTCAGAAGGTTTTAAATAGAAATTTTTTATATTTTATTCCCGTATAAAAACAAACAAGAAGTATTTAAATATTTATTTAACGAAATTATTCAAGTTTTAAATAATTAAATTTAGAAATTAGTGAATGATCAGAAGAGAGTAAAAAATAAAATTTTGGTGATGACACTGAATTAAATAAACGACTTTTTCGACTTTTTTTCTATTTTAAGGAGAGACCCCCACCTTTATTTTGACCCCTTTAAATTATAAAATTATTAAACGAGGTAATATTTTTTTTCTTGCGTCATTTTTAACCTGAAAACATATAAGATGGTCAAAAATATTTAATTTTAATTTTTGAAGAGGTTAGAATTTTTTCTTTTGACCTATTGCATATTATTGCAAATCCATGCGAGAAGTTGTTTAGAATGGTAAAATATGCATGGAATAAAAATTTCGTTGAAAAATATTAAAAACTGTAAGAGAAGATCAATTTTTAATATTCAACTCTTTCACTTTTGCCAAAATTTCGAAAAGCCTTCAATCTTTAATTTTTTTCAAAATGGTATACTTTATATATACCGAAATAAATGCAAAAAGCCATGATTTTTATAGTTTTTACCATGAAAATGAGCTAATCGTCAATTTTAACTGTTTTTTTCGACTCAGAGCATCAAATTGGAAAAAAGGACTTCCGAAATTTCGGCAAAATTTAAAGATTTGAATATTAAAAATCGATCTTCTCTTACAGTTTTTAATATTTTTTAACGAAAATTTTTTTCCATGCATATTTTACCATTCTAAACAACTTCTCGCATGGATTGGCGATAATATGCAATAGGTCAAAAGAAAAAAATTCTAACCTCTTCAAAAATTGAAATGAAATATTTTTGACCATCTTATATGTTTTCAGGTTAAAAATGATTAATAATTTTATTTTAAAGGGGTCAAAATAAACGTGGGGTCTCCCCTTAAATCGACTTCTTTGCACCTTAAAGTCTATCCGAGGCCTGGATCATGAAACATGAAAAATTCTAGTCCCTTTTTTAACCTGAAATTACTGAAAATAGAAAAATGTTTTTTCAGAAGCCGAATGCTGCTGCCGATATTCTTGTATCAGTAGGTCATAGACACAAGGCAAGAGGTGAACGAGATTAAAAGCCTGGAGCGATGTCTCGAGACGAGGTGCTCGCGACCATGGGTGTGGAAATCGTTCAAGTTGCGGCGACCCGCTTGAGCAATAGTTTCGCCTACATGGACGACGTGTCCAAGAGCCTCTCCCGCGGGTCCCGCCGACTGAAGTCAAGTTTGCTGGAGGAACGAGCGACCGACGAGTCGGACCCCACGAGCAACACGAGCTCCGTCGCTTCGGACGACTATCACGGGGCGTCCTCCATCCCCTGCTCCCTGGAAGGCTCGGTGCAGACGCCCGATAGGAAACGCGTGAGTCTCGGCAGCCATCGCCAGAGACTGAAGAGCAGCTGCACCATCAGCGGCGACAACGGCAGCATCGGATACGGGTCGTCGGCGCCGCTCGAGTCGGAGAATTCCTACTCGTCTCACCCTGGATATCCGCTGACGCTGACTACCGACAAGGGGAGCAGTCGGAAGTCGAGCTCCTCGTCGAGCAACTCGCCCAAGGAAGAGGACACGAGGACTGCTTCCTCGGCCACTTCGCCTCCGACTTCACAACGATTCCTGTCGCCGTCTTCCTCCATTCCACCCTCGACGACGTCCGTTAGTTCTTCCTCCAGGACGCCTGCTAATTCCAGGTGAGAAATTATTTCTTCCAAACTGGAGAGCATGGAAATGTCAGGGGATTTTATAAACCTTGAAAAAATCTGAAAAAGTCGGAATTATTTTTAATACAATTTTAATCTAATTTCTCGAAAAGTGAAATTATTCTTAAAAATTTTATTGAAATTCTTCGAAAGAATTTTAATTACCTATTTAAAAATTTGTTGATAAAATTCTTTAAATGAGAGTTCAATTTTAAAAAACATTTAATTCTTCAATAAATTATTTTTTTTTGTATATAATAATTGAATTGTCGTAGAATTTTCTAATAATAATTGATTCAAATATGAATTTCAGTTAAAACTTTAGATAATAACTAGCAACGATTCGCGAGCGGCTAACTTCTTACTGACTTTTTTTAAATAAAATTAGCAATTATAAAAATAATAGAATTTGAAAACTTTCTAATTTAAATTTTTGTTGAAAACACTAAAAAAATTCAATTTTGGAGAAATTACAAATAATTGCAAAAATTCAACTTTTTAAAAAAAAAATAATAAAATTCTTCTTATAAAATTCAACTATGTACAAAATTTGAAAAAAATTTTGTAAAAATCCCAATTATCTTTATAAGTAACAAAATTCTTCTCCAAAGTTTAATTATTATTTTCCTAAATGTCAAAAAAATTCTTGTCCTATTATCAATTATTTTCAAAAATAAAATGCATTTTTCTAATTTCAATGATTTTCAATATCTACTATATATTAATAAAATGTCCCAAAAAAATTCAATTATTTAAAAAAATGTTAATAGAATTGTATGCAAACATTTAATTATTTTCATAAATAATAAAAACACAGGAATTCAATTATTATTTTTATAAATAATAAATTTTTTTTTAAGGAATTCAATTATTTTCATAAAAAATAAACAAAATAATAATTTTGTTAAAAAAATTGTGATTCATAAACAAAAATAATGCAAAATAAATTGCATTATTATTAACTTTTTTATAATTTTTCTTTTCAAATATTTTCAATTTTAATATTAATATATTTGAAAATCATCGAATTGTTGCAAAGAATTTTATCAAAAAATTTGATGGTAATAGAATTTATTTAAAGAACTTTATTATTTAGGAAAATAACTGAATTCTCACAAAGAATTTTAATAAAATTTTTTTAAAATCCTAATTAAATTCTTTTGAAGAATTTCTTTGAATTTTTTTTTTTTAAACTAATGGAGTTTCTTTAATAATTTTAATTGCAAATTTTGAAAGCATTTGAATTTTATGAAGAAGAATTTTATTAAAAGTGAATTGAAAATAATTGAATTCTTGCGGAGAATTTTACTAATATTTATAAAAATTGTTTCGAAGAACTTATTAAAATTTTTGGACGTAATTGAAATTTATGGAAATATTTTAAAATATTTGAATTCATTCGAGGAATTAAATTAAAATTGTTTTAAAAATCATTGGATTTTTGTAACGATTTTACTATTGAAAAAATGATTGAATATTGTTTAGAAAGTTTTTACTATTTATAAAAAATAATTAAATTGTTATGAAGAATTTTATAGAAATATTTTAAAATAATGAAATTTTTTCGAGAAATTCAATTAAAGTTGTTTCGAAAATTCGAATTTCTTTAAAGAATTTTATTAAAATTATGTATATTTAAAATCATTGAATTGAAGGGCTACATAAAAATAATAAGGGGACGAACGCGTGGTATCAGTCAGGTAGCAGCGAGCGGCTCAAGGCTTGTCACTGCTACCCGACTGGTAGTATCCCTTCCAAGCCTCGCGTTCGTCCCCTTATTTTATGTAGCCCTTCAATTGAGCTCCCGCGGGCAATAACTCGATCTGCGCTCGGACGCACTCTCTAATACCAGTCGGGTGGCAGTGAGTGGCGCAGAGGCGCTCACTGCTCCCCGACTGGTACAAGCGCTTGCGTCCGAGCGCAGATCGAGTTATTGCCCGCGGGAGCTCAATTGTAAACAAATGTATTTAAAAATTCTCAAAGAATTTTTTCAGAAATTATAAAAAATAATGGATTTAAAGAAGAATTTAAGTTAAAAATGACAAAAAATAAGAATTTAATTGGAATAATGAAAATAATTTTTAAGAAGTTTCAGAAACAATATTCTTATACAATAATTATAAGATAATGATTTTATTATACTAGATCAGCTTTAATTGTTTATAAATCATGAAGAAATGGATCACTTCGAGTCTTCCATTTCTTCATGTTTTCTAATAATATTCTTAAAAGTTGTTGAATTTCAAAAGGTTTGAATTTGAATGTTTTGAAAATTTTGATTCCTTTGAAAAAATTAATAATTATTAAATATTTATATTTAAAAAAGAAGTTATTGATGTTTTCGAATAATTTTACTTTTAGAGAAATTTACAAATAAAAGTATTGGTTCATTTTTTTTTTTTTTGAGTATCTAATTATTTTTAGTGTGAATTAGAATATTTTTTAGAGTCAGGGAAAAAGTAAAAATTTTGTCTGGAAATCAGGGAAAAAGAAAAATTAAATTTTTGTGGTAACCCTGATTGAGTAATAAATAAATATTATAATAATGCAGAATTTTGATATTATATCAAAGTTCCGTATTTATAAAAATTTATTAGTTATTTAATTTGGTAAAAAATAAATATGGTTTTCAAAAACCTGAAAAAATTGCGTTTTTTAATCTGGAAAACCTGGAAAAGTCGGGGAATTTAAAATGAACAAAATCGTGGCAAAACCGTGAAACGATAATAATAATAATAATAATAATAATAATAATAATTTTGCTATTTCAGAGGAACCACTGGCAAGAGTCAGAGTTCGCTGACCAGGTCCCGTGGCGTGGTTCCAGGGACTGTTGCGCCCTCGACGTCCTCTTGGAACAGTTCGTCGGTGGAGCAAGAGTCGAACTACGTGATCGATGTTGAGAAGGGAAATGCGTACCACAAAGGACAATTCCTCGGAAAGGTGAGCAAATAAATAGAACATCAGGCACTTAACATTTATGCGACATAATATTACACGTGGACAATAAACTTCCATCTCACTGCTGAGCAAAAGGGTAAATGTGTAAATAAATTTACACCTCAACTTGAAAAAGTTAAAAAAAGAAATTATCTCTTTGAAATTCTAACAAACGCTTCATTGCCACCATTGCCACCGGTCGCTGCTAGAGGGAAAGATTAATAGATTACCGAGTTGAATGATAATGCCTTATTGCCTTCATGAAGATTCCACGAGAAAATGTGAGCAGTCTTCATTCTGGGAATTTATTATTATTATTTACTTTAAATTGCACACGAAACTTTGAGAAAATCCTGTGGGAATACAATATACAATAGAATCTCTCCATTTTCTCTTGCTCATAGAATTTAATGTCAATAATTTAAACAAATCATTTTTTAATTATCACAGGCCTCGGATATTATGACTTTTTCGACTTTTTTCGACTTATTTTCAAAATTGGCAAACTTTTTTACTTTTCTTACAAATATTATGCAACAAATTACCACATTTTTAGTATAAATTGCAAATTATTTTTGTATAATTTATCTAGTGGGAAAAATAGACAAATTTTTTAAAAATTATTTTTGTATAATTTTTCTAATGAAATTTTCAAAATATACAATTCAAAAGATTTTTAAAAATAAATTTTTTTTTAATTTAATTGAAAATAATTTATTTTTTCCAAGTATTATTATTATTGAAATTTTTGAAAATCAACTTTTGCAGAAATTTAATTTCAAATTTTGTGAAAATAATTGAATTCTCAAAAAAATTTAATGAAAAATTTGAAAAAGATAATGAAGATGAAAATTAATAAAAACTAGCTTCTAAAAAATATTAAATTTTTTTTTGAAGACAGTAATTCTTTGAATTTTGTTTATTATAAATTTTTAAAATTCAATTTTTTTCAATATTTTCAAAAATATAATTCCGAATATTCAAATACATAGACGTACAAAAAATAATACAAACATTAAAATTTTTCAGAATTATTTTTAACATTTTGGAGAAAACAATCATCATGTATAAATTTTTTTTTAAATTCTTCAAAAAATTACACTTAGTTTTACAAAAACTCTTTTGAGAAATTCAATATTATTTTCATGATCTTAAAGTTTTGAACGTTCAAATGAACGAAATTTATTTATTTCTTCTTCAAATTAAACTTTTAATACAACATTTTGTGTCACTATTAAACAAATTAATTATAAAGTTTCTAAATGTAAAATTTAAGTTTTTAACATTAATTGTAATCAATAAACTATGAAAATATTTTTAACAAAAAATATTTCGTTCATTTGAACGTTCAAAACTTTTTGTTTTTTAAAATTTACTTGTCTTTGAACAAAGTAAATTAATTTTCTTTTAAATTTACTTCTTTAGATTCTTCTTAAAATTTCGGAAAAATCATATTTATATTTATAATTAAAATTCTTGAAAAATTTGATTGTTTATTTAATATTTTTCAAAAATTCAATTATTTGAAAAGATTTTGTCAAATTTCAATTATATTTAAATGATTTTACTAAAATTCAATTGTTTTAAAGTGATTTTATCAAATTTCAATTACTTTTAAAAGATTTTACCAAAATTCAATTGTTTGGAAACTTTTGAAATTTTTTATCTTTAAAAAATTATTTACAAATATATTTTTAAAAGATTAATTTTAAGAGTTTCTTTATTATAATTTTTTAAAAATATTATAAATAATAATAACTTTGAAAAGAAACATGAACAATAATGACAGTTACAAGATAAAATTTTTGTTGCAACACTGAATTAAATAAACGACTTTTTCGACTTTTTTTGTATTTTTAATCGACTAAAGCCACTTTTTTGTGTCTTAAAGTCGATATATCCGAGGCCTGTTATCATAACTTATTTTCAAGTAGATTTCCAATTGTTATTAATCTCGAATTCTCGATATTTCGAGTCTATAATAATATTCTGAATAGATTGGATATTGCAATGTTTACAAACAACTTGTATTTTATGTTTACCTGTAAATAATATTACGCTTAGGAACGGAAGGGCCACTTCCTCTCCCTTCGTTCCCACCTTTCGTCTTTTTTCTTTTTCCTTTTTTCTCTCTTCACCAGCCACACAACCTAACTCGTTTCATTTTCATCTCTCCCTTCGGGTATATTCAGTGCGTTCGTTCCCATCGTTTGAGCGCAACTTCTAGCATTCATCATCTTGGATTCCTCCTAAAAAAAACTGACTTAGAACCTAAATTGGACGCTTTCAATTTTAAATTCATAAAAGTAAATCATGAGAAGTGAATTTTCTTTACTCCAATCTAAATTAGATTCTATTTATGGGTCATTCTCTCAGAAAAGATTCAACACTTTGTTCAAAAATAATTAAATTAACTCAAATTATTAAAAATTCTGCATATCACACATAGGAGTCAACAATCTTCAATTAGATTACATGAGAAACAATAAAAAACCGGGTTACCACAGGTCTGGGAAATGTCGGGAAATTTCATCCAAACTATACTGAAAAAATAACAAATTTTTAGAATTTACTACAAAAATTTTCATTTTTAGTAATTAAAAAACATTTTTAAAAAACTTAAAAACCTTGAATTCTTCTTGAATTTTTTTTACCTTAGAAATTTTACAATCAGAGCAGGGCTCGGATTGTGCGTCTTTTTCGACTTTTTTGTGAATAAATGCGACTAATCATCTCATTATTTTCATAAATAATAAAAATCATTGCACAATTTTAATTATTTTTAATATTTAATATAATTTTAATTTCAATTCTGCTGAAATTCGTTGAATTTTTTAATATGTAGGGGAATGTAGTCAAGGTTGGCCTACTGTCTAGGTAGGCCACTCGCGTTTTTTTGTCAAGTTCACTAGCGCCACCTACGCGCATTTTTGTCGAAGCTTGTCTTAGTGAAACCTAACTTTTTGTTCAATTACATTTTCGGAAAATCGAAAATTGTGTTTTCTGTGACGTCGGTACAAAAAAAGCTCAAAAAAAGTTTTGTGCATAATGTGAAAAACCATTAATAAAAGATAAAAAACAAATTGAATCGTGAAAGCAAGTATGCAGAAAATTTGTGGGACTCATGGTTGAAAGGAAAACAAAGTAAAAAATCGAATCCCGAAACGTATTTCTTTATGGTTACAACAATTCGGTAATGTTACTTACTGTCAAGGTCGGCCACTATGTGTTTAAAATGCGCAAAGATGAGGACGAGCTACTTCATTTGCAAAAACTGCAATTCTGTATAACTCATAATATAATTGATCATCTTATTAATATTTTTATTTAATTTTATTAATATTTTAGTGCAAAACTTTTTTTTATTTATATTTATTTTTTTATATTGTTTATTGTTATTATTTTGTTATTTCATTAAGTTACAAACTGTAAACAATAAAGAATCAATTTTCCGTAACTCCAAACATGTTATTTTATTTTTTAAAGATTAATGCCCTTTGAATTTTAAACATGGCCGACCTTGACTGTAATGGCCAACCTGGACTACAAATTTTTTTTTTTTTAAATCTTTATAACTTTTTCATTTTTAAACCTGTCAATTTACTTTGTACAGAAAAAATGTTCCTATTAAACAGGACTTTCCAACCATATACTTCAATTGTCCAAATTCATTTTTAAAAAAAAGTTATAAACAAAAGTCAAAAAGGTGGCCGACCTAGACTATGTTCCCCTATATATGTATTAAATATTATTTTCAGAATTTTAAAGCAATTCTTAGAAAGAAATCAATTATCTTAATAAATATCAAAATTCTTCTCAGAAATTCAATTATTTAAATAAATTTTAATAAACTTCTATTTTCTCTAAACTTCTTTAATAGACTTCCTCGCAAGAATTCAATTATTTTTACAAGTAGTAAAATTACTCAAAACAATTCAATTATTTTCATAAATAATAAATCGATTATTCGGAAATTCTTCAATTAAATCTATTATAAGAAAATGAAAACTTTCAATAATTTCAAGAAAAAAATCAATTCTACAAAATTGTTAGTTAAAAGTACGATAAATTTAGATTTTCAAAGATTATGATTTCAAACCTTTTCAAAATTAAATTATTTCTAAAAATGTACGTAATGCTTTTAATATTCATTTATAATCTAAAATTTTAACTAAAATTCATTATGAAATCAATTTTTATTAAAAAATTTAAATTTTACTAGAATTCAATTGCTTAAATACAAAAATAAATAATTTATTGAATAATTGAATTCTTTTGATGAATTTTAATAAAATTTTTAAGAATAATTACATTTTTCGAGGAAATTGATTAAAATTCTGTAAACAATAATTAAAATCCTGCGATGAGTTTTATTATTTATGAAAATAATTGAATTATTGCGAAGAAATTTATAAAAAATTAGTAAATAATTGAATTCCTGTGAAATTTTCTATATTTATGAAAATAATTAAACGCTTGCGTACAATTTTATTAAAATTTTTGCAAATAATTGAATTTCAGAGAAGAATATTTTATTATGTGTAGAGATAATTGAAATTTTGAACAGACTTTTTAAAAAATTTTTTAAAGTAATTGAATTTTGCAGAAGAATTTTGATATTTATAAAAATAATTGAAATTTTGATAAGAATTTTAAAAAAATTTTTGAAAATAATTGTATTTCTGCGAAGAATTGTCTAACTTTTGAAGATAATTGAATTTTTTAAATTTCCAGGATGATTTTTATTATTTATGAAGATAATTAAAATTTTGACGAGCAATTTAAAACAATTTTTGAAAATAATTGAATTTCTGTGAAGAATTTTATTATGCGTTTGAAAATAATTGAATTTCTAGGATGAATTTTATTATTTATAAAGATAATTGAAATTTTGACAAGAATTTTATTAAAATTTTTTTAAATAATTGAATTTTGGAGAAGAATTTTATTAACTTTTGAAAATAATTAAATTTTCTATGATGGATTTTATTATTTATGAAGAT